GCTTAAACTAATCCTACATTAGTAAAATTGATAAAGTTGCTCTCAAATGGGAGTAATTTGAGTTTCATATTTTACTTGCTACTTAGACATCACTTCTTATTTTAGTTATTAACCACCCTGGGAGATAAAACAAATTTCTTGAAAAACCATACAAATAAGGCAAGCTTCTCTGTGCCTTCTAGTTTGTTTCCTCCCTGCTAAAGAATAAATGAGTGACAAAGTTCATCACTCTGGAATATTATTAAAAAGTTCTTGCCTGCTAGGTTGCTGCCAGGCAATCCCTTGAACAGAATTCTTTGCCAGACCACACTAAAAATGGGGTGGAACATCACTGTAGCTTCTGAACTCTGTGACTTGGGATTGCTGCCTTACCTGCCTGGGGGTAATCTCCAAAGTCCCTGCTGAACAGCCATCCATCCTTCTCAAAGAAGGATGAGAAGTTATCTAGCAAGGAAAGTGAGGTTTTAATACCTTTTTTAAAAGGGTTGGAGATTAAAGCAGGTTTCATTTAAACTCTCTTAAATTAGACACTTTTAACTATAGTGAAGCTGCTTCCAAGCAGTAAACCAAACCAAACACGTGCATGGCTTTGTTGCTAAAGCAAGACTAACCCAGATGCTGCAGAGAGCAAGTGGAAAGTGTCTCTATGTCATACCCTTTATGTCACGTCAGTAGAACAGGCAGCGAAGAGCCAACCGACCTGTTTCATATTTTTTTGCATTGGCAATGTCTTTCCTGTAGCTGTTCAAGGCAATAATGAAGTCTCCATGTGGGATATGGAAACTGGCGATCGACGCTTCACGTTGTGGGCCAGCAGTGCACCGCCTCTTTCAGAACTGCAGGTCTGCTCTCTTTCTTTTCCAGTTTCTGCTGTGTGGCGGGGGCTACAACGACCTCAGACTCCGTGCTGTGCATCAGTACAGTTACCCATCTCCATGGCCGTGCCAGTTTGGCACCAAGAGCTTCCCCTGGGGTTTATTTTGGCACCAGAATTGTTTTGCTGTCAAAATGAAATCCGTTGTGTAGAACAGCAGCGTAACCTGAATCTTCATTGGTATCTTCCACTGTCTGTGGGATGTAGTTGTAACACTCACTTGCTATATACAGTCACGTTCTTGGAAAACCAGTGAGCTGGTCAAGCCTGTAAAGATCAGGGCAAAGGCAAAATTCATGGTGTGGCATCTTGTACTTACTTTTACTTGCTGTTTCTGGGGTTGTGTATACTCCTGTAAGCACCTGCTCTTTTGCACATTGTATCTGTGATGTAGTGCCACTACCACACTTAACTGCTAGTTTAAAGCATGAAGTCGTGCTTCTTCAGGGAGTTAATTGGGGAAGGAGCAATCCGGGATGTCCATCTTAAAACGCAAACACATGCACAAAAATAACCACAACTTCTTCGATAAATGTTGTCAATGCAGATCTGGAATCTATCTAAACTTGAACTTGTACGTGCCACAAAGATTGCAGGTCGAGTTAATTTTGGTGACGCACTTTGCATGCAAGGATTCAAGCTAGTTTTCTCTTGTATGTCTGCCCCTTAATGGCTTCATAGCATAAATCATGCTTTTCAGCATGATTTGCTTGACTAATTCTTTTAGAAATGATCTCTCTCATTGAGAAAGTCATTTCCAAGATTCCAAAAAAGCATTATGGAGGGTTAAATCTGTTGCATTGCTCTGTGAACTGTAAGGAAGCAATTTAGCTTAATAATATATTGAGATTAAAGTAATTTGGCATTTGTCAGAAAGGTCTGGGAACTGAGTGGATGAATGTGGTAAAGAATGCATTCTCTGTATGAAGCATGGCAACAGCTAGTGGTCATAACTTAATTTTGTATATCCCTTCTCCCTGCTAGCCTTCTCCTAACAGCATCCATGGAATATATTGTAGTCCAGCATCGGGTAATCCCATATTACTGACAGCAGGCTCAGACATGAAAATAAGGTAATAAAACTGACAACTTTTTTGTTTGATGCTCCCTCCTCCACCCCTGCTGCTGCACTAAATTTTGCCAAGCAATGCCTAAGTAAGCTCCAAGAAGTCAAAACAATAATGCTGCCGATGTGTTCATTAGTAAGCATCAGTCAACTGAGAGAATGGTTCTTTGCAAAAGTAGTGCAAAACTCCTTGCTTCTCTGAAACACAATGTGTACCCTTCTTTAAATTCTTGATACGCTGCATGATGAGAAATAAAACAATAACTCATGTGTAAGCTTGATATGAACGTTGATTTCTCAGCATCACACTCTTCCATTAAGTGTAGAAAGCATGTAGCGTTTGGGCCCACTCGTTTTCATCATAACAGCAAGACAACTTTTTAAACAGCTGTATTAAGCTGATAAAATTGAACATCTCAGCTTGATTTTGTTTCTTTGTCTTTAGGTTTTGGGATCTAGCCTACCCTGAGAGATCATATGTTGTTGCTGGAAGTTCTAATTGCCCATCTGTTTCCTACTACAGGAAGATAATTGAGGGCACGGAGGTGGTTCAGGTATTTTGCTTTGATAGACACCTACTCTGCTTGCCTGTCGGATGGCCCCATGGGTTGTATTAATTACATGCTTTAATTATATATTAATTACATAGCTTTAATTGTGTCTCTCTTGCCTTATATGGATGTTGTCAGCATTGCATTTTCAGGCAGTTAGGAAGAAGTTATTTTAAAAGAAAAAAAATATCAGAAGCCAGACTCATATGTTACTTTTGGGATAAGGAAATCTAGTGTTTTAATGCTCTTGGCTTTGATCAGTCTTTTGTGTAGGATCTTAGCCAGGCAATGTATCGGTACCAAAATAACACGGTAGAAGAACTCTGCAGTTTTTATGACATCCTTCAGAGTGGCTTTTGGAACCGGCAGTGTTGCTCGTTGTTGAGTAGCACAATGTTTTGTTTCACTCCACTGAATGAATGCCATTTCAGAGGTGACGGGGAAAAAAAATTCCGTGAGGGTCTACCTAAGCACTATGATATTTTAGTGTTTCACTTGAAGTTTTTAAACAATTACATTCATGCTATTGAACCAGTTTTTATAAATCCCTTGGGGGGGCTAAGATGTATGTGTTGAAGAAAAAAATTCTTTCCCTAATCAGAGAGCTGTCATGTCAGTTCAGATTAAGACTCAGGTTCTGTATGATGACAAGGAATGAACAAAGGAGTAATCAAAAGAAAACTATCTATGGATGAGAGGTCTTGTGTTTGGGTGGGGTTTGTTTGAAGAGATTTTTTGGTCTTTTTATACTGACAACCTAGTATGTGTGACAATTCCCCTTTGCAAATGCTCACATTTCTGTAAATAATATTTCTCACTTTGTTTTTGTACAGGAAATTCAAAACAAGCAAAAACTGGGGCCCACTGATGAGACCCCTCGGAAGGGTCCAGAGTCTCTTCCTGTCGGTCATCATGATATTATCACAGATATTGCAACTTTCCAGACCACGCAAGGGTTTATAGTAACGGCATCAAGAGATGGAATTGTTAAAGTGTGGAAATAAAAGCTGTACTAATATATAGTATGTAAATATTTGTAATAAAGAAATAGCGTTATAATGAATTTTTCAAGGACTGTTTCCAGATCATGGAATAGAATGGACTTTAAATACTATAATGGTGATGATAAAATCAGTTATCTGTATCCTACCACCCTGTTAGCACTTCTTAATCACTTTTGTTAAAGATGTTTGCTATCTATAGCATTTCCTTGAAATACCCAGCAGTCTACCAAGAAATCATTTAGCCTGGTTTTGACTACATTGTTCTTCAAGGATCTTTCAGAAAATGATTTAAAGATGCCCCACATTACACATTCTAAATGTGCAAAAAGCAAAGAGCTGGTACATGTACTTCAGTGTCTGACCGCTCCTGGGTTGAGTCTGAGAAATGAAATAAGAATCAGTGCACTAATGTCCCTGTACATTCTAATAACTATAATAAAGTCCACTTCAGCTTCCCTCTTTGGTACTTGGGTTTCTTTATATCCTTTTTTCCTCTGCAGTGATTCTGTAGCCTCAGCTGCCACAGCCATTGGGCTGTTATTTACCCTTAAAGCCAGATGATAACAAGCTGAAGTCTTTTATTATAAACCTATCTTGGAAAGAATCGTTAGCCATGTGAACAGTAAGGGTCTGACTGATTGTCTTTGATTTCCAGAAGGATTTTGACAAGTTCCCCAACGAAAGCCTTCCAAAAATAATGTTATCTGATACTAAAATCTTCTCACAGATTAATATTGGTCAATATGGTTATGAAGTATTATTTAATGCTAGTTGAAATACAGTAAGTGATATTAAGGAGAAATCAGTTTTCCCAGTGGAGGAAAGCTATCAGTAGAGACAGGTGGATTTGTGAAGGGAATGGTGATGTGCCTAAAGTTGCTGAAGGCAGTAAGTTACTTGGGGAATGAAAACTGCAAAAAGGTTACAGAAAGATTTGATGATAGTGGATGACTGAATGATCAATGTCAAATTAAATCCTTTGCAGGTAAAAGTGGTGCACGTGGTAAACGCAGCCTGGTCTTAACTTTGTGTTTATAATGAGCAGTCCTGAATAGCTTAGGCCTGTTCAGGGAAAAAAAACGTTGGCATTATAACAGACAGTCCTATAAAAACATTAACTCAGGCCTTGGTATTGATCCAGAAGTTCAAATGAATGTTAGGAATTATCAGGGAAAGAATCAAATAATACACCAATGAATAAATCCACGGTGCCCTCTTACTGTGACTAATGTGTGCAGCGCTTCCCCCTAGTAATGAAAATATGTATGGTACAACCATGTGAGGCACAAAGAAAGTCTATTATGGGTAAAGAATGGTTTCCATATAACAAATAATTACAAAATTATTTTAGAATTTTATAAATATTTTATATTTGTTATATATATAACAAATGTTATAGATTATATAATTGTATATAAATATATATAAATATTTGTGTTCTATATATATAAAATAATTATAAAATTATGAAATAACAAATAACTATAAAAAATCTGTATCTGGAAAATAGAAGCCCAAAGAAAGAGATGACAGAGATCTGTAAATAAGCAATGACACAGGGAAAACTGAATAGGCAATAACTATTTGCTCGCTCTGATAATGAGAGAACTATAGAGTATAAAATAAAAGCTGAGGTAAACATGTAAAAAGGAAGGTACTATTTCATAAAGCATGCAATTAAGTGATGGAGCTCCTTACTTTGGGCTATTCAAATTATGCTTAAATAAATTTAGAGCAGAAAAAGAATCCATTCCAAGGGCTATTAATCTCCAAACTGCTCTATACAAAAATGGCATGTTGGAAATTAAAAAGCTGTGATTTTGCAACAACTCCAGCATGAATTTTCTGACAGGCATGGCCTGTGGAAAAAAGTAATTTTATTTGTGTGCACAGATTTCTGTACAATGGAAGAGGAAAATTATATTTTTAGGAATTTAGCAGAAGTGTTTTAATGTTAACAAGACTGCTATGAATTACCAGACTATTCCGAGATTTTAAAAATCCAGCTGGGATCACAAATCCCTTTGCCTTCTAACTTTAAACTCTCATGGGGAAGTATATCTGGACTATAGAGAAAGCAAAGAGGTAGCTTTGCTCAGGTAAGTTACTTTTTGTCAAAATTGGAGCAGATGTCATAAGGCTGGCAGGTGCCATCGAGTCTCGAAGAGAGGGAAACCATTAGCACTGTGAGTAAAGCAAAGCTGGCATTAGAAGAAACTGAAATGGAATGTTATTACAATATATTCCATGGGTGTTACCTAGAAGTTATTAGATAAAAGAGACCAAGTGCAGTCCTTTGGGAAAAGACCATATCACCAGAGACTTCGCTAGCATAATTAAGAAGAAAGAAGTCAATATTATTAGGTACGTAGAAGAGAAAGGGACTGCCAAAGAAAGTGGTCTTTCAAAGATTCATGAAGAGAAGAGGACAAGGAAGAATATGGCTGAAAATCACAGGGGAGACAAAGAACTGAGAATGATGCAAGCAAGCTGAGTTACAGACATTATTTTGCTCTCAGTCCCCAAATCAAGCATGGTTGATGTTACTGCTGCAGATGATCACAGAATCACCGTGGTTGGAAGGGACCTCTGAGATCATCGAGTCCAACCTTAAAAAAAACCAAAACAAAACAACCCAACAAAACCCGCAAACAACAACATGTTGTTGCTGTTGCAAATTAGTTAAAATAGATGCAAATTTCTTATTATAAATGATTGCTTATTTATAATTATTTTGTTTGACGGTGGTAAAGCAAAGAGAAGGGTTTGAAAGAGTAAGACAGAACTTCAAGGTAGAACTATAAATTAAATGGCTTTCAGCATTCAACTGTGCTATGAAACAATGGGGAGAGAGATGACGACAGGATGCTGAGAATATGCTTATGGGCAGAAGCAGGACAGCTGGGCTGATGGCACAGAGCAGAGTAGGAGAAATCCCCTTTCCAACCTTTTCCTCCTTACCCGCTCAGCCTGGCCAAGGATGCAACTGTTTCCAATTACAGGATTAACTCTTTTTCCCCCCTTTTTTTGTTTTCCATTTAAATGAACAAAGAACAAAATCAAGGAACTTTGCACAGGAGAAAGCATTTCTTCAAATGTTGAAGAAATGTTGTCATTCTCTATCCCATCTTCTTTAGAAAAGACCTCTTGAACAGTAAAACGGATAGTGTCCTGTTTCCTTATTCCCCCATACCCACCTTACAGTCTTTTACAGCTTCATAAAAGATACAGTAACTAGGCCTTTGTTAATACCCAGATCCAATTCTTCTTTTACAGAAATAATATGAAAATTAATTTCTTCTATAAAGTTAACCTTGGACTTCTCTTGTAAAATAGGAGCAGTAACTTATTTTTAAAAGAAGTTTCTATCAGCAAGAAACCCATTATTATAGATATATGACACCTTTAAGCTATTTCTACTGGCAATTCTGATAGTTAAGATTTTTTTTGTTTTGGAGGACAATTTAAAAACCATTCTTTCAAGTCATACTGGGTACAGCACAATTCCAAATTAAAGAATATAATGTGTGAAGTTGTTGGTAATTTTAATGTTATCAGAACAGACACCTTATTTCCCTGAGGTTTTTAGCTTTATCTATAAAAAGAAGCTGATATTCTGTGTTGAACATATTATAATTAACAAGCTATAAAGAGCTATGGCACATGCTCATTTCTAGTTGTTAATTTATTAAAATCATTATCTGAAGCTTCACGAATTGTGCAACTTTTGAGCAGTCACCACGTTTTTCATTTTTATGACTTGAAATCACGTAACTCAAATGCAATGAATGTGTTCTCCTTTTCCAGATGTTTTCTATTTTTCTGTGTCAGAACTCCATTATGGCCCAGCTCCTTGCAAGGATTCTTGGAAGATAAGGAAAACTCTTTTTTTCTTGCACTCCACCCTCACATTTCCCAGATTCCTGCACCTCTGAGGGACAATTCATTTTGTGAGGCATGACTGATGCTGTAAATTGCAAAGACATGAATATACACATGAAAATACCCAATTGACTTTTTACTTCGCAGTTCTCTTTCATCTGAAATAAATTGTTGTATGGATGCTTTTTGTCCAGAACATTTTAATAAGGAAGTATATACATGATACAGCAAAGCCACTGACATAAATGGAAATCCTGCAATGTAGCCTAATAATAACAGAAAAAGTAGAACACAAAGTTCATGGCACCAGTAAAGAGCCCAGATGAGCTGAACACCGTGGCAGAATGCAGCCTCTCAATAGCCCCATCTGCGCAGTACAGAGGTTACATATTAATATATAATTTCCTGAGGCATGAGAGACAGGTACAGTAATTTCAAAACAAGCACCTTTCTAGTGATCTGTTCCCTGAAACACTGAAGAGAAAGAGACATCTCTCTGGGATGCAGTGTACTTCCAGAGTAAAATCATGAACTGGTTCTGCCTGCCTTCAGGTGACTGTGTGCCTTTTAAGGGGAGCACATTCCTTTTCTCCTTCACAGATATCTGAGAGAAAAAGCAAACTAAAACATCTCCTTATGAAGACAGAAATTTATTTCTTCATTTATTTCTCCCCATATTCTGCATGCTCTTTGTAATTAAGATAGCAAGTATTTCGTTGAGGAAACCTCTTCCCAATTCACATGCTGGATTGAGCCCAGAGACATAATGAGTGCTCTGTGATGGAAATAGACAGGAATAAAACATCTCTCATAACTGTGGAGCGTTGTACTCCCTAACAATGAAACACAATCCATCTTCCCCTCTTAAGGATGCAAGAGAAAAGGAAAAATGAAAAAGCTAAGCATATGGAAAATGGAGAATCCATGAACTCTGTCTGCAATTAATCTGATATAGTCCAATATACTCTCTCTAAACGCTTTCTGAACCCCCTTGAAATCCCTGCTTCTGGCCTCCCGCTGACCAAGCGTCTCTCTGCATTTATCCTAATTTTTCATAGGAGACACTATTAAAAATAACTTTTCTTTTAGCACTTTTCAAAAGAGCCACCATCAGATCACGATTTCAGCAAACTTTGCTAATGATTTCATAAAGGATGATGAATAGCAGAAAATTGCATGGGAAAGCCATTTTGTCTCTTCGTGGTACTGACAATTTTCTTCTTAGAACATTGTATCTGTGCCTGGTATTCACACCCCAGGAAGGGCATGAAAGCTAGAAAGAATTCAGGAAAAAGTTACGAAGCATGTGATTTGATTCAAAATTTGATTGCAAAAACACAAAACCCATTCTCAGGAAACTCAAATCAAGAAAAAGTTAAGAATGATTTGCAGGATTTTTTCCAGAACAAGGTCTGCTTCTTTTACCTAAGCTCCTACAGACTATTCTGATACTAACTCAGCAGTTCAGTTTGTATTCACTTCAATCTTGGAAACAGCATGGAGCTGAGAGAAAGCTTTAAAAGGCTATCTGGGAAGAGACAGCAGGTGAATAGAGAAAGCATCAGGCTTAGAGATGCACCCTTTAGAGAGGGTTTTGTCAGGAAAAGGACAGAGGTTTATGTGAATCACTCACTTGCCCATAGAGAAGGAGAAAAGTAATGAAAAGATCAGATTGAAGCTGGGAAGAGCCTCCCCTCCTTCTACGTAGTATTGTCAGGATGAGTTAGGATCCATCTAGGGCTGGTTGATGCAATGATGTTACTATTTTCCCTTCTTGCTTGTTTCTTTCAAATGTGGATTCTACTTTCACCCACAGTCCCCACGTTTCTGAAAACTGTGCCATAAATTTCTAGTTACTTTAGCTTTGTTTCTTCTTGGTGAAAACTCTTTTTCTTAAAGGAGTATATTTTCTGTCAGCCTGCAAGTACCAGGGAGGACTGAATGAAGTAGCCTTTATGGTGACATGGTCTGCAGACATCTCTTCTGTTTCAAAGCTAGAGATAAACACAGGACACAATCAGGATGTGTGGTGATAAAGCATTCACAGGTAGCTTCCCCAAAAACAGAAGGGAAGTGAATTTCTTGAGAAAATTGCTCAAGCCACTTGACAGAATTGAATGCCTAATTGTAACAGAAATACAAACAGGCTAAAATTACAATTTCATAGGCTGAAAAAAATAATAGATTTTCAGCTTCCCCTCCCTCCCCCCTTAAAAGATGCCATTTAAGAGAACTGCAACCTCTTTATACACAGAACAAGAAAATACATATTTTCTCTCGATATTGGAACAACGTTCTCTCTGCTGACTGCTTGCAGTCACTTCTCTTGAAAATAGTAAGTCTTAAAAACTGATCTATATATAGTTTTAAAAAAATGTGACTGAAGATTATAAATGCTTTTGCACAGTGCATGGAAGTGCAGAAGAATGTGTACACAGTTCTCGAGAACACACAGACTTTAGTGAGAATAAGAAACAAAGTTGATTGTTACAAGTCTGCTATTATCAGCCATGATCCGAGGTAATGTGTATTTGAACTGCTGCTAGAGAAAACCCAGAACAGGGTGACTGCAAATAAGAAATGGTTTCTAAACATAAGAAAACAGAAACAAGACACCACTTGGACACACACAACTCTATGGGAGCGGCTGGGATCCACCCAAGGGTACTGTGGGAGCTGGTGGAAGTGTTCACCAAGCCACTCTCCATCATTTACCAGCAGTCCTGGCAAACTGGGGAGGTCCCAGCTGACTGGTGTCTAGCAAATGTGACCCCCATCCACAAGAAGGGCCGGAAGGATGATCTGGGGAACTACAGGCCTGTCTGATCACAGTGCCAGGGAAGGTTATGAAGCAGGTCATCTTGAGTGCCATCACGCAGCACATAGAGGACAACCAGGCACAGTTGGCATGGGTTTATGAAAGGCAGGCCCTGCTTGACTAACCTAATTTCCTTCTATGACAAGGTGACCCACTTAATTGGTGAGGGAAAGGCTGTGGATGTTTTCTGTCTAGACTGGTAATTTTCCTCCAAGAGCAGGAAGAGAAGGATTTCAAAAGCTTTGATTTTGCTGATTATTGTCCCCATTTTTTTCTAATCCAAGAATTTGGATTCTTCCCCAGGCTCATGCAGCCTAAGCTGCCACAACAGGTAGATATAAGCTGACAAATGTAACTGCCTACACAACAGAGATGCTTATGGTCTAACAGAGTAGTAATGCAAATCAGGCAGGAAAATTTCAGGAATTTTCACATTGTTCTTAGTTGTGCTTCAGGGAAGCGACCCTGAAGACAATGGCTTGGAGTCTTCATGTTTCATATTGCCTTTATGTTTCCTTTGCTGACCTGAACACTGGCGTCACGGTCCTTTTGCAGCACTTTCCCCAACGTGTGAACTGCTGGGCAGTTCCCACTGAAGATGAGCCCTTTGCACTATGATTCAGGTTCAGAACCAACCAATGCCTTTGGCAGATGGAGCCACAAAACCTGCTGCTGTCAGTGACTGATTTTCTCCATTTTTGATTTCTCTTTTCTTATTACATTGAAGCCTTCATATAACAAAAAGTAGCATTTTCGTATTAAAGTGTAAGTACAGTTTTGTGTGACTATGAAGGCATGTTTAAAACAAAAATAATACATGGGGTATCATTCATTTTGCATAACAATTTTAGACTTGTTTTAAAACATAACATGGTATGCTGTTGATTTCTAATGTGTTTATTACAGCCCAGTTCCACTTTTTAATCTTTGCTGATCCAGCAGACTTTCCATCAATCAAACAAAAAAACCTATTGAAAACACCCAACAAGGAGAGTGCTGTGAAAACCAATCCTATTCACCATTAACCCCCCAATATTCAAATAATCATGTAATGGACTTACACCGGTCTTTACCTCCGAAAGCCAAGCCTGCTACACCTTGCCTTGAGCTCTTCTGGTGGGTAGTTGTTCTCACCTGTTCGGAAGACAGTAACAAAATTCATTAGCTTTGTGGGATTTGGAAGATTTTGGCAAAGTTTAGCCTTTTACCCAAGAAGAGCTGCAAATCAAGTGACTTCACTAATTTTATACACAGATCATAAAGACTATATTATAAAGAGATGAAGGAAAAAGCACAACTAACTTGAATGAAAAAATGAAGGACCTAAAGAAACCCAAGTTTATATTAACGTGAGGATTATATGTGTATGATATTATTTATTTATGTCCTTAGTAAGTCTGACTTTTTAGCTAAAAGCCACTAACAAAGTCTATGAATAATGGAATGACCCATGTCTTTTTAAGTGGTCTATATTCACAATTTAACACATTTTGCATAAGATACAGGCAATCATTAGTCTGTTGTCATTTTCATTTGACAGCCAGATTTTATATTTTTACAGTAGCAAAAAAAAGTTAGGTCTTGTACTTCCAAAGCTGAGTGATAAGGCAGAAGTAGCTAGATTCCACTGAGAGTTGGCTGGAGCTGATCTTTAATGGGAGCAGGGCATTTGTCAGTATTTCACTCCAATATAGAGCATTTAACACTACAGTAATTTTTTTTCTTCTAACTTGCAGCAGTGTGGCATGATTTCCATATATATGTTATAAAATGAATTCTGATCTCAGTTCCCATTTGCATTCCCCATTGGCCTGTATTTAAACAATCCTGATGATGGCTGATTTTCCTCTCTAGCTATACATTTTCCCTGCTGAATATATAATATATAACCAGGACAAAGACGCTCAAAGAACTGCACTGAGGAGTTTCTATCCTATTAGAATCCACAGGTCTTGGTGATGTTAGAATCTAAAGGGAATGGGAAACCTTAACTATCTGTTGGTAAAAGTGCTCTGGATGAGAAAGCTGGTGGTGTTTGTGCTTTTGAAAAGAACATTTTTATAACCAAATATTTTTCTTAAAATCAGGCATATTTCTAGGCAAAGAAAAAGTAGCTGTGCTCCATGGCAGGGGGTATTTTAGCAGGGCTTCTTTCAGCATCAAAGCCATACCCATTCCATCAGTTGTTCCTCTCTAAACTTTTTGTGACTGATGGCAAACAATAGGCCCTGTGGGTGTCTGTCACCAAAATAAAGACTCCTGGAATGAAGGACAATGGCTATAATCCATGATTTTACCCAAAGAAGGAGGCTGAAGATCTTTGTGACAGGAGAATGAGCATAACTGGCCTAGCAATGCACATCATGAGTACACCCCAACCTTATCTATCCAGTGCTTTTGCGTAATATTGAAAATTCACAGGGAAATAAAAAAACGCACGACCTGTGATGCGATAACTTACTCCTGAGGAAACGTATGAATGGCTTCAGAAACCTCATTACATAGTCAAGTTCGGGCTTGTGGATTCTGCCAAGCTGAATCAAATGCTCTTCCAGACGAGTGCTTGCAAGCTCTTCCAGTTCATTTCTGTCATAGGACTTTCCTACTGAAATTACAAAGAGTGCATAGCCTTGGCACTTAGCTCGCAGGGAGATTTTTTTTAATATTCCTTTGTCCCATTGACTTGTTTCTCCAGCAGATATAATGATGATAACTTTGTGTGGCCTTGGATTGGGAGCCGCTGAGAAAATGTTAGCAATTGTCCATTGCATGGCAGAGCCCACGACAGCCTCTCCATTCAGCTGTTGAAGAGATTCTTCAATATATCTTCTTATTCGGTCTTTACTCCTGTAGGTAACAAAGTCAAATTCTTTCTTTACTGACTTCTTCCCTGCGCCTGCTTTGAAATCTGGTAGTGCATGGCTCACCACAGCAATTCTGTCCCCTACAACAGATGTTTTTGGATCCAAGGAAATGTTGAATGCAGTGACTGCTTTGCTCATGAAATCTTTGATTTGCTCAAATTCAGCACCACTTATTTTCTGTGAACTATCCAGAATGAAGGCAGCATCTATATATTCTCTCGGTAAACTGGGCCTGGGATGTTCACAAAAAGCATCTGGTTTACACATGTCTACAAAAGAATGTAATATTAATTAGCATTTTTTTAGATAAATCAAAAAGTAAATACGTAACAATGAACGTGACCACAGACCTAATGTGTTAGAATGGCCAATTTAAAAAAAGAAAAACCAGAAAAAAACACTAGAAAGACCTCAATGCAAGTTAGGAAAATAAAGGCTGACTCAAAACACATAATTCTGCACCTGGTTCTACAAGACAATTGATGCTCTGTTTCCCACTGAGATAAAAAAGTGATCACAGCAATAGAGTTGATTACATTATAATTGTTTACTTTTGGACAGGTTTACAAAACATGTGAAACCAGGTCCTTACTTCCCATTGAAAATCAATGAAACTCCCAAACTCTCTTGTTTACTTCAGTATGTATTTGATGAGGTTTTTGTTGGGTTTTTTTTATCAGGACAGAGATCACACACACCAACCACAGCAACTTCTTATTGTTAGGGCAACTTGTAAGAATGTATTTATGTAGCTATTTAAATAAAAGTTTTATTCTTATCTAATACAACTGCTGGGAGCCTTTTGAGAAAACCTTAAATATTATGGCACTAAAAGGAGAATTTGATGCTTTTTGAAAAAGCACTTTGGGTCAAGAAAAGAAAATGGCATGTGCAGAACTGCAATTTTCCCCAATATTTTAAAAAGCACAATGATCAATCTTCACAATTATGTTCTTCACAGAAGAAAGTCTTTGTGATATTGGTGACCTTCACCAAATTATTGAGGACTCTGGTCAGGAGTCAAAGTTTATCGATATTCCAAAAAATACAAAATGAATACAGTCAGAATTTCAAAATATTTGCTTGTCTTTCAAACTCCTTTCTATGAAAAGTAACTCCAACTCAGACTCAGGACATACAAGTAGATGTCCAGATTCCAGCAGAAAAAAGCACTTTGGGTCAAGAAAAGAAAATGGCATGTGCAGAACTGCAATTTTCCCCAATATTTTAAAAAGCACAATGATCAATCTTCACAATTATGTTCTTCACAGAAGAAAGTCTTTGTGATATTGGTGACCTTCACCAAATTATTGAGGACTCTGGTCAGGAGTCAAAGTTTATCGATATTCCAAAAAATACAAAATGAATACAGTCAGAATTTCAAAATATTTGCTTGTCTTTCAAACTCCTTTCTATGAAAAGTAACTCAGACTCAGGGCATACAAGTAGATGTCCAGATTCCAGCAGAATAACCAGTCTTTCTCTCAAGCTGTTAGGTGTGCTAATAGCTGCTGGACTGCACAGATTCATCATAAAGAAGTCAAGGAACCTCACAAGCCAGGACTGCCAGACCATTAGCTGAGTCACAAAGTGAGATATTCCTTGCTAATACTTCACCTGTCTTCCTGATCACTGTGTGCCCCAGTAGGAATACAGAGGGGTACTCCCCAGCTTTACATAGTGATGGAAAGACCAGAAATGGTCTTCTGAAGAATAAGGAAAGGAGATAAGGATGTAGGCTCTAGCTCTATTACCTGTCTTCACCAGGAAGATACTGGTTTCATAGAAGGCAACATTATCACTGTTACAGCTTCTTAAAGGTTAGTAAACTTGGTCATGCAGACTTTAAAGCTGAAGGACCTTGGTGGCCTTTGTCTGTTACATTTAGTTAACACTTGCTTTTAGGATGCAATTCAAGAAAATGCATCATTTTCAACCAGGCATTCTGGCAAAACAAGGATTCAAATACCCTGAAAGAAAGACATGTGCTCATTCAAGTTAGAAGGCCCCTTCTACAGGGACAGGAGTAAGGAAATGGCTCTAGACGTTTAATACCATATTTGCAGAAGCTTAAGGTGGAAAAACATGGTCTTCCAATATAAATCTTTCCTTTGAAACAGTTTTAGCAGTTATGACAATGCAGGTGATAGGTTGCCAGTAAATTATGTTCACTGGGAACAGACTATACTTTTGGAATTCAACATATCAATAAGAAATAAGGTCAAATAATTTTGCTAGGGATATGTATGGAATGCCTCAGCCCTTTTCCTTATCACACTGCTCTTCACTAGGCAACTCTACATAATACTGTATTTCTCCTTTAGTGACAATTCAAAATACTGTATTGGTCTTACCATAGCACAAAGTGCAGACCTGAAATCTTCGTAACGCATCATTATAGTGCCCATCACGAACATTTAGCACCTCAAACAATCCAGACTCATCCATCTGAAAACAAAAGATAAAGATGGCAAGTAAGTACTGCTAAGTAAGTGCTCTATGATTTCTTACTGTTGATGAAGTGTAAATTTAGTGCTCAAACTTGGCCTAGAAGATCCATGGCTGAAGGAAGCGGGCCAGAGGGAGGGATGCACTGCAGACAATCAGTGCATATATCCCAGCTGTGGTAACCTCATATAGACTTGTTCCTAATTGAGCCCTAAACCGAGATAAAATCATTTTTCTAGCACTATTGTGAAACATGCAAAAGACTTCATATCTATCTGCAACTATGCTAGATCCTCAGTTGACAGATCCTAGTGGAAATTCTGCCTTCTTGGAATCTGATAAAATGCAGGACATATAAAGATTTTCAAATTTAAAATATTTAACATGGTCAAAATGTCTGACAAAAGCTTCAGGTAGAAAAATTCTCTACAGAAAAAGCAAACTAAGCAACCTGAGTTGATGGCTGTGTCTCAGACATGCAGCAGTCCCTTTGTGAAGCTGGAACCTATCTATCTAAAACACTACCAAGGGCTTCTGATACCAGATTTATTGTTCTCTTTAAAATATTACTTCAACATTTGAATTTAACTGTTTCTTCTTAAAATATTTTTAAAAGTTAATGATGGACACAAAGGGAAATCAAATCATGTTATTGAAAAAAATTTAAATATTTCCTAAACATCCATGCACGTGTTTAGATATATGTATTTATACATATGTATTGTTTCCATGCATTGTTATATATGACTAAACTGTGAATAAATTGTCACAAAGTCTGCCAATGAAGTCTGGCATACACATGAAACCACACAGAGCTTTGACATCCTCCTAAAAAGAAGTTCCTTATCTTACAGATACCCTGGCTCTGCTAGATATTAATATTTCCGCACCTCATGGGAAAGAGATCAGAATACTTTTTACAGTATTATTTGTCTGAATTCAAAAAAGCTCCAAGCTTTCTTGTGTCCTTGTGCCAAGGCACAGACCTCTCAAGGGGTATGCGTGCTTGGGTTCTCTCACAGCTTAAAGGGAAGGAAAGTGATAAGCAGTGATAATGAACAATTAGCTTTATCAACATCAATAACACTTTCAAGAGCTGCGGTTACTTTGTGGAAGCAACTGATTTCTTTCCTTCCTTCCTGCCTGCCTTTCTTTCTCTCCTAGTATCCACCATTACAGTTCACCCCAGGAGTTACTCCAACAAGTCTTCTCTTCAGAACAAACACAGGGAGGATTTTTGGGTTCGCTGTCCTAAATCAAGGGAATGTAATGACCAGAATATCATCTGTCTAGGTGAAAACTCCTGGGAGGCTTCCAGGTCATTGGATATCAACTTTTTGGATCATGCCCATCCCCGCCTATGAACTTAATCTCTGGACAACTGTTTTTTTTCCTTACAGAAAGACCTGAAACCGCAAAACTAGTTCTTTGGTTTTGCCTGTGCCTTACCCGTGTCTGCCCTCTCACAGCACTCGCTCTGCTCTAACAAATGCAACTTGAAATGAACTTGCTAACATTTACAGGAGAAAGAAAGACAGTTAACTTCCCATCTGCCTAGGATGTGACTCTTCTCACACACAGGAAGCAGCAGCAGTGATCACTGGCACCTTGTGCAGATTTTGCAAGGTGATCAAAGTTTAAATCTGTGCTGTATCCCAGCGTACGTATACCTTAACCACACTACACCATCTTTTATAATGATATTTTAAAGTTAATTTTTTAATTGATTGGTTTTGGAAAGAAGCGACACCTCTCTGGATTAAGACAATAAATACTAGGAAATAAATAAAATTTAGTGAATCTGAAAGAACTGGCAGGTCAGATCCTGTCAGGCTTGCTTGGTCTCATGAGGAAGCCTGAGGCATACTCACAAGAACAGAGAAAGAAAAATAACTATCCAGCTGAAACCAGGACAACTCCTTAACTACTCACATCACATTTTTTTTTCTAGAAAGAGCATTCCAAAGGGATGATGGAAAGTATCCTCAGTAAAAGCTCTCAATTCACACTGGCCTAGAAAACAAAGCTTGCCTTTTAATCTGACAAATTGTTTTTAGAAGCTCTAGAGTCCTTGGCAGTAAAAGTGGATGTCCTTTACCAATATTGCATTTATCACTTTGATGAAGATCACTTACATTAAGTAATAGGGCTACAAGGAGGAGGCACAGAACATGCTCCACATGCACTGGAAGAACTGTCTTCAGATATCTCCAGTGTTAGAACACTATTATCCTCACAAGAGTTGATTCCTCAAGTCCAGACAGCAGGAAAACCACAGATGGTTCTTGCTATCTTAACTATTCCCGTGGTTGCTCTTGAAAGAACTTAGCATGCACACATGCCAATATCAGACATTAGTGGTGTTTTACCTAGCATTCAATACTTTAATTCTTTGGCTTTTTTTTCTTTGTATTCATTGCTACACATATTTCATATACACTATGGCAATGCTAGTACAAAGAACAAGAGAGGTTTCAACTATTAATAACTTATTATGCATTAGAAGCACTTTTCCATAATTCCACCCTCTTGTGGTAGCTTCTTTGCCAAGTAATAAAACAAGGAATTTGCCAGCCATTCCTAGCCATTTACTGTACCAGGCTTGCTGGTACATTGAAGGTTTTTCTACTAAACACATTCTGCGGGTTTTTACTACTTTAGAGTGAAACATTATTGACACAAAATCTCTCCTCTAAAAAGTTACCCATGTATTTTATGGTCTGCACACATTATCTTTGTTGTGGTTTGCTAATGTATTCTTACAAAATCTCCAGTATTTCCACACCATTCATTAGCATCACTGGGGGTCAGGCTCTTCTCAGTGGTGCTTGGTGACAGGACAAGGGGCAAAAGACACAAGGCTGGAACACAGGAAGCTCCATCTGAACATGCAGGAAAACTTCTTTGCTTTGAGGGTGCCAGAGCACTGGAACAGGCTGCCCAGAGAGGCTGTGGAGTCTCCTTCTCTGGAGATATTAAAAATCTACCCGGATGTGTTCCTTGCTTGGCAAAGGAGTTGGACTAGATTATCTCTGAAGGTCAGAGATGATCTCTTCTGTGATTCTGTGTGCAGAATTTGAATCAAAGTTTGATACAGGTGAGTTGCTATGCTCAAAAGCATTACATATGGGATAAGCATGACCTAAAACATTTAAGGTTTCTTATTTTAAACTAACATTATTAAGCATAAAGAGGAAAAGCTTAGTAAATTTCTTACCAGGAAAGCTTGCGAGATATGGGGTGTGTTTTCAAAAGCAATAACTACTGGAAGGACTTCTTCTGCACTCATCTCCAGGACAGCTTGTTTAACAGAAGATGCATCTGTGGCTGGCCCGTGGCTGAAAACTACAGCTATTTTTCTCACATGAGGACCTTGTAGAGTTCTCTTGAAAACGTTCCTGGCAATAAATCTCATTGCACCTCCAGTGTCCCGTCCACTGGACGATCTCTGGTAAGAAATACTTCCTAGTGCTTCGAGTAGCTTATTCTTGTTTTGAAACTCTGAGAAGCGGATGAGGTAGTGCGTAACCAAGTTGTAGGAAACAACAGCAACTCTGGCTCCCACTGGGCAGTTGCTCTCCCTGATTCTGGCCTCACTCACTATCTCTATCATAATCTCTCTCATTAGTTCAAATGTCTCAGGAGTGACTGTCCTCGAGATGTCCAAGGCAAACACCAGTTCTGTTGGATATAATGGGCATCTCGGTTTTCCTAGGAAAAAAAAAAGAACAAAAAACACTCCCAAATTATTTTGTTCCCTTGCATCTTAGACACGGAGAGTAATGCACATAAAAGCTATACATAAAATTACATAATACTAAACTGCATCCTGCACTTGATACATGCACAGAGAAGAAGAGGGAGCCAAAGAAAAATCTGCCCAACTTATTCTGGAAAGGCATAGAAGAGTACAAATTTATGGTTCTTATGAAGAGGTTTTACAAAGATCTTTGAAAAATAGTGCTAAATCATATTAGTACTATTCCACAGATGGAGAAGCTGCAGCACAGAGAGTAAAAGTGGCTTTCCAGCATCACCCAAGCAGGACAACAATAGGGCCAGGAGCACAAATGATCTTGGGTTTTGTTCAAATTTTGACAGGCTCCACATTTACCTGCACTCTGAACCAGTGGGATGTGAGGCTGCTGCAGTCTGTGCCCCCCCTTTGCTGGGTGTGCCTGCTGAGGCAGAATGCACACTATCGACTTCAAAGTGAGCTTCCGACAGTCTGCATTGGGCTGCACAGAACTATCCTGTATTTCCTGCACAAAATATTCCCTTATAAAGCTCTTCTTGGGCACAGTATGGGCCTGCTGTGCGGCCCAGACACTGATTTGATGATATTATTGCTACATTATTCTTAGGAGCTCTGTGAAGATTGAAGTAAAACATATTTCATCTTGTAATTGCTCCAGCCACGATATTACATCTACAGTCAGAAATTGTGGTGAAGAAAATAACCTGCTGCAGCATAAAGAAAAATGTAATTTAAAAACTAGAGGCTCTAGCAGGTAACATAACTACAGTAATAACAGGATCATTTATCTAGCACTCATGAAGGGAGGAGATTACTGACTCACGGTTCCAGCCAAATCCAGTGTAGGACAAAAATTTCATTATCATTCCCTATACATAACTGGTATCAGAGACATTTGGGCACAGAACACACCAAGTACTGAGGGATGTTGAGCCATAATGGAAAGAGGATAGTTAGGAAGAAAAAAAAAACAGAGGAGAGCAGTACTGAAATCATAAAAAATAAAGAAAAGACAGTTTTAAATTAATAGGTATGATAAAATTATTTGGCAGTTCAGTGTAAGGAAGTGGGAGTGCAGTTAAGAACGCAGAAGGTCAGAGAAGGGACAAGAAAGAAAATTAATCTGCTGTGCTGAAACTGCAAGATAATTAGAATTATGAAGGGTCAGAGAAGGATAACACTAGCTATATCACTCAGGGACAAGTAGAAGGAAACAAGAAGAAGAATATGCCCAGGAACTGAACACCACCACCTAGATAACAGGGGAAAATTACAAAGGAGGAACTCGTACCATTTTGGTATTGCCAACAATGGGGTTAAATCAAATACTGGGGTTAAATCAAATAAAGCTCTAACAAAATGATACAAGGCACTAAGAAGGGCTGTGAACCTCTATGGCAAATAGAAATCTGTGATATATACAAGATTTCAAGAAACTGCACCAAGTTTTAAATGCTCTTTTCAGCTCATGTTCTCCTACCTACTTTCACATGAAGAGTGCACAACACATTGTACCATCCAAATACCTGCCAGCACACACACTGGATATAAAACAGGGACAAATAATTCAAGCACTGTATTATTGTGGGGAGAATCTGCAACTGCTTAATATTACACCTACTCTTCAGGGAATGGAAATGAGGCTCATACATGCAGTAGTGGTTAAGATAATCGCCAGCACTGGCATTAAACAAAAAGGGTTTGCCTTGATTTTGAAACTCATAGCAGTCAAGCATATCCAGGAGAAATTTATCACAAGTAAACAAATCTGAGCTTTTGAGAAGTTTTACAGAACAGCAAGGTAAGGGAATCAGATAATGTTGAAAATGTCAAAAAACAGAAGGTAAGTAAATAAGACAAGTAAATAACATTTCTTTTCAGAGGAAGAAGGAAGCAGATTGTGCTTGATGGCTCAGCAGATGTGTTCTATGACTTTAGAGACTTTAATTATCTGCTCTCCACAGATTTCCTAGGCTGAGGATTTCTATGCCATGCTGCTATACCTGCAGAATGGGACTAGAACTTATCTAGATGGTAAAAGCACATACACACAGTAGGGGAAATGTCTTGTGTTACAATGTGCATACCTTAGAGTATATAGAAATTATGAAGCCCTAGTTTGCTCAGGATCAGTATAGCCAGTTACAGAGATGTGATAGTTGAAGCTGAGCGAGCGATGGTCAAATAATATCTGACAGTTTTAATTAAAAACACCTACCACAGCTATGAATATTGACATGTTCAGCCTCACTAAGTCACTAGTGGAGAGAGACAAACTGCAGAGGAAGCATGTGGTGACTAAACACTTGAATTTTAGATATCTAAATTAAAAGGAGATATATCTCATCCTACACATGGATTAACAAACTAAAGCTCCAGTTCAGTAAACATGTGACTCTCAATGTATAATTTAACCCCTTTGAAGAGAACAAATAACAGAATACATAGGAGAAAGCAGTACTCACCATCCCAGCAAGCTAAAGAAAGAGAAAAAGAAAGTTTAATTGAAAAGTTTTGCATGTGAAGAGTTTTAAAAATAAAATTCTAAATCAATGGTGGAACATGCACTGAATTTCTATAGTTCTACAGATTTTAAGACTTTCAGTGACTTAGGATCCATGCATTATTGTCCTCCACTGCTATGGGTGCTTGCAAAATTTTTTGTGGTGTTACTGCAGAGTGGAGTAAAAGCATGAGCAGGCCCTGCTTTAGACCAAACATTTCACTGAGGGGTTTACACCAGAGTTTAGAGATATAAATATACCATTAATTGTAGAAACTCACACTATTTGGCACAGTCACTTTCCAAGGAATTAGGATAGATAGACTAGGAAAAGATAACGCAAACTTACTTCATGTTTACTGGAACCACTGAATACCAAGAGACTTAACTTTTCTAAGAAATTATATTACAGTAACTTTGGCAAAAGAAATTATTCTAAACAGCAAAAAATATATTTTTTTTTGCATTCTGAGCCCTCACTTCATTTTTCAAGCACCGGTCTGCCATGAATCCACAGGCACGCTGAACACAGAACTATCATGATATTAGTAAGACAGTGAAGAAAGCAAGTGGTGATAATCAGCCTTACGATATCAAAACAAGATTGAACGCTTACGGCTGTGTTCGCGGATGTAGTCAATGAGCTCACAAGGCTGTGGACGAGAACAAAAAAGACATACATGGGCACATGGCTACCCAATGAGATGGTGCATTGTGTGTGTTTGTAACAGGGAGAGTGCTAGAGATACGTACAGAAAATGAGGCTTGTCCTTTCTGTCCTTTACTTCCCTAAAAAAAAAAAAAAAAAAATAAAAAAAAAGAAAAACATTACAGTCACGTTATCATCATCTCACCTAATTGCTCAGATATTTCACCAATAACAGGGAAATAAAAAAAAAAAACCAAACCAAAAAAACCCCAAAACCAAACAACCAAAGCCAAGGGCTGACTGCATCACACATTTATTTTATTTTAGTAAGGCTGAGAAAAGATCAGTATTTTGGTTTGCAAGGACAGACCTTTAGTACTTTGAGGAATTTTTGTACATGGCTGTTGCAACTAATTTCAGCTCTGATCCTATTTTGAAGCTGTAAGAAATTCATGGTGTATCATTTCACATCTGATGAAGATGTACAGTGAAACTATCAGCTTAGCATGAGCTGCAGACTCCTTAGCAGTGGTAACAATTAACAACATAAAAATGAAACCAATCTCTCCTTTACACCATGTTGAATTTGCAAAGCTAAAATTCAGAGGAAATAAATATTTCTAAAGTGAGCCTCTTTCATTTGAGACTGAAGATACACACTGCTGAACTCCCACAATGGTAACTTCTAAAGGCTTTGTTAGAAACACATAATTGCAAAATTTACTGTGCTGCTGACAGCCAAAACATACAGTAAGGATTTTCTTTTGCATTAGTTAAAAGGAGAGGCTCAAAATATGAGTTAGGTACACTTTTCAAACATGCACAGGCTAGGCGTTTAGATTATGACCTATGAAAATTACATTTATATGTGCACAGTTAGCAATTTGCATTCAGAAGTACCTGATTTGTGCTTACATGCAGATGAATTCACAATCTTTTTTATTTAATAAAATATTGAAGATCACAGTGTAATACAATCATGGCATTTACAATACATGCACATCACATCAATAGCAGTCATCAGAATATTGCACATCTTAACACTTTACATGACCAAAACAGGAAGAAAATATTTTGTTTCATTCCTTAGTTTCCCTTCAAAATTAAAAAGAACAAACATATTTTCCATATGACAAAATATATTGAGTCTAGGTCTTACCCTGCGTCCTGGAGCTCCCCTGTCTCCTGGACTGCCTTCCGGACCAGCAGGTCCTGGAATACCCTATGAATAATAGCATGTAACACATGGTATTCAAAGAGTATACACAGGTGACATTTACATTTGCTATTGGAAAGCAACATATTTCCTTCCATCTTCCTTTATTTGCTACATGCTTAAGTTCCTCTGACTTAAGTGTAAACAAGAAGTAAGAAAGAAGAGCCTCAGGTCTGACATAATTTTCACTTTAATGGATAAAGAACCTGATAGCATCAAAGCACGGATTTTCTTCTAGTAGTTCAGCTCATTTTGGTTAAGTGTATTATTCATCCAATATGTTAAAAGCCCATTTAGAAATACAGTCCTCAAAGCAAAATTAACACATACACATCTTTGCTTTTGGTGGCAAGAGCCTTGTTTAATTTTTGGCCTTTTTGGAAAAGCCATGCATTAGCAGCCTTTGAAAATGACAGACATAACATTTAAAAATCAATACAAGTGTATAATCTGCATATCAAGGAGGAGACTGTTAAAAAAAATCCATTAAAAAACAACAAGAAAATACTTGCCATTCTGCCTCTGTGTCCTTTTAGTCCATGTTTCCCTGCATTTCCTCTGTCCCCAGCCTCACCCTAGTTAGTTGGAAAAAAATGTAATTACAATGTAAAAACTAGACTCTCCTGACAAAACCGCAAACTTCTCAGGAAACTAAGAAAACATTTTTCCACTGAAACAGAAGGATACGAAAGATTGCACTTGAAAAATTAATCATGGACTCATGTGAAAAAAAGAAAAAACACAAACCAAACCTACACGGTGACTGGCCAGTGGTTTTTTTACTAAGGAAAAAGAAAATGAGATGCAGCTGTTACTTCAACACGGCATCATAAGATAACAAACGACTTGCAACTTCTTGTTTCACACAAGTGAAAGAACTTCTCCTCTAATCTGCCAAAATCATGCCCTTGACTGCAGTGTATTCTCCCCAAATAATGCTTTTTATGGCAGAAGTGTGCTGCTTCTGAAATGTGATTTATCTACTTGTTTACTAAAGCACACACTGATTTCCCATGAGAGCAGTGAAGAGCTGGCAGTTCAATTCATTTAACAAAACTTCTAATCACTCCATAATTATTGTGTAAGTGAAAATATTGGAGAAAATGTTAACAGGCAATTTCTGTGCATAGGTCATTTGAAATGTTGAGCGATATCAACAAGGACAAGCCTTTGTCAGATTTTCTACATCTGTGGGGGCATGTATATCAGTCAGCAAACTATGAGAACATGAGCTACTCCTCACTCTTTTTTACTCCATACACAAATGGCCATTTACCGGAAAGTTTGTGTCAGACACCTGGCACACAACATCTCACATTGTCTCCAAGCCAAGATGTTCAGCAGAATGAGACTCTGCTCTTGCCGTACCCATACCTCTGTATCCACAGAGAGTACAGATGTTAAGCAGCCTTATTAGCTGAAGCCTAATGTATAATACCAATTTCACAGCTCAGTTCTATTTATTCCACCTTGTTCTCTAGCATTTTCATTGTCTTTTGAACACGTTGAGTTCAATATGGAGCTCTATATTTCACATTCAGCTTGAAAAAAAAGTTTCAGTCTTTTACTGGGAAGTCTGATTTTAAAATTCATGATTCTGACTTGAAAGAAAAAAAAGAAAATAAAGCAAAAAAGGAAAGAGAAGCATTGCATTTTTCAATGCAATAGGAATTTTTTGTTTCACTCAGTTTTCATTATTGTATGACTTTAAAAATTAACTGAAGTAAATCCTCCACTTGTAATTTTTTTAGCAATCATAGATTTCCTATTAGGAAAACAGGTCCTCTCAAAAACTTCTGTAAACACCACTTTTGTTTCACAAAACAGTGGAGGGACAAAAGATTTTTTTTTTCCAGCTAAATGTATTTTACCATTTCAATAGAAGAATCCTAAAGTTCATAACAAGACCATAGGGAAATTAATAGTTGACATATATCAAGCACAAGCTTACTAAATGAAGACTGTCAGAATCAATTACCCGGATTTAGAAACACACAACAAGCTAGCTTGTTATCCTACTTTAAAAATTACCAACTCTTTTTTATGTTCAGAAAATTTTTATTTCTGTGGTTTAGTTCTCTATTTTAAACTCTTGCCATATAAAATTTGATGTCGACAGACTGTTGGACTTGCAAAATTAGGCACTTGAAAGTAAAGGAAGGTCTTCTTCATCAGCTTCTGCTGAAGAATTTCCAATTTATTTCTCTCCATAATTCTTCATTCTCCTTTGATCATATATTAGTGTTATTAGTAGCACTGTCAGCCTGAATGAATTCACTCTGACGTCGTACAACGCAGCAGAACAAGACCTTCTACGTCCATCTACTTTTACTGCAGGGAAGGTAGAAGCTGGCTTTGAAATGCTCCTGTCTATCAGAAAGTTGGTCAGAAGCTTCAGGAATAGAAAAAAACACTGCTAGTCCCACTTATGTGGAAGCCTCTGGATCTTTGGAGATCAGAAGAAACCTCTGCCTATAAACATTAGCTTTGGTTAATGATTAAATGACTAAAGTGATGCAATAAGTTCAAACCTTCCTGAAAAGAGGGCACACAGAGCAATTTCCGGAGTAAATTGTAAGAGACAAAGGCAAAGGCAAAAAAAAAAAAAGAGGTGGGCTTTCCAAAAGCCATTTCAATCTAGGCTGTTTTCCTCAAAGTTAGTGCTCATGCAGGACACTTGGACCTTTCTTCCCTTTCCACGTCTTTGTGAAAACTGCTTCATTTCAGGGCATCCAGCATCAGATTGTTCTTCCCAGCAAAACACAGTAAAACACCTGCTTCATTTTAATTTAGTGCTCAATGGTTGGAGCAGGGATAATGGCAGATGAAAGCTTGCAGTCATTTACCACTTACACAGGTTATCCCTCCTGCGCTTTTAACAAAATCAAATCCTGCTTCTTTTAACAAAATGCCAGGAAAATTCACTCAATGTATGGAAAATTATCTACAGAAGCTATTCTCATTTTTAAAAACAAATATTAGCAATAGTATCTGCCATTTTTGGAATGGCATAATTCTATCAGCTACACCTGAGTTACACCCATGTAACTATAAAGCAGTAAAGAACAGATCATTTAAGCTAACATATATGAAAGCCAGAGAACTGTTGAGGTAAAAATCAACATATACCTTTCGTCCAAAATCTCCAGGAAGGCCTCTATTCCCCTATAACATAGAGAATAGACATCAAGAAATTCACATTGTTATCCCAGTGTTGTTTTTTAATTGGCATTTGAAAGTTATATACTCTTTTGTAAATATATGTATAAATACTAACATTATGTATAATATATACACTGCATATGTAAAATATATGGAAAGATACACACATATATATAAAATACTACTGATGAGGATCTACTTATAGCTTTAGCTTGTCCCAGTCATGAATAAAGAGTGAAACTGTCATTACATTGCCAGCAAACAGGACCAATCTTAGAGCACATAAAAACTCCAGAAGTATGTTTCTAGTAAATCAGAAGCAGAACAGAGGCTGGTATTTGTTAGTGGAGGTATGCAAAGCTGTATTTTTAATTTCCAAGAAACATACTAACAAGAGCTTGGTGCTGGTCTGAAGACATTGTCTTGTAGGGACAATGTGCCATATGAGCAACATCTAAGGATAATAACAACTCCTAGTTTTTTGAACTCAAAGGACAGGCTCATGGCTCATTTAGCCATTGCTGGATCCAAAATCTCTCTCCAGAATTTCTTAGGAGAAAGCCGACAATGCTTCTGTCAAGTGTGTGGGATGAGCATCCCCAGTTTGCCTTCTCCTTCCCACACATCCCTTGCTCAGTTTCACCAATAATTACCACAGTCTCTGGCTCTTCCCAAGGGAACCTCTGCTCACTTCTCACCAGGACCTTGCTAATGACTTCTTGAATAGCATTACCTGTGTTTCAGCTGTTTGCATAAAGAAGCTTAATGGCTTCTTTAGATGTGTTCTGAATAAAAGAAAGTTTTGCAGCCACCAGCTTTTATATATTGTAGGAATGTAAAACTAGAAGGAAAGTTGCTTTGTGATTTGACTGGTGTTTCTGCTAAAACATCAGACCATCCTGCATCTGAAAGCATCAAGAAATATATTCTAGAATCACAACATGTACATGACAAATGCCCACAGGGCCCTTACAGTCTGAGGCTACAGATGCAAAACCCATTGTGAACCATATTGATTTTAGCAATTCATTGTTTGATCTCAGGCATGTGCTCACATAGGACAGCTAGTGAATTAGTCATAGTGAATGACAACTAGAAATAAAATCAGTAGTTGTGTAGGTTAGAGTTCTATCCATCCCATTTTGCCTTGGGATGAAACTGAAATAGCTATAAACGGTGCCTATTGTTTGCATTTCCTCCAGCTTTCCCTCCTCCTTGTTGCAAATCACTTCTAAAATAACGGAGAAAGTAATGATTTCCTTATGATTCCTCTTTCAGTTTTACCTTTACTCCTTTTTCTCCAGGTAGACCATATCCAAAAGCACCATCTTCTCCCTGTAAACAGAACATTTTTATTTGAGCATTTGCATCTGTACTCTTCTTGTGTCTATCTGCACCTTATTTTACTGACCAAGTGTTAATTCAAGTTCCTTGGAGTACAGGAATCACTGGAAGTCTGATGTAAGGAATTGCAATGCATTGGGGAGGAGCAAGATGACTTCTACTCCATTTCACCTCATACATATGCACACTGTGCCCCTGAACTGGTTCAAAGATAAGCAGAATCTCTGCATTCTCTGGGAAGTAAGATCTTGTAAGTAAACACAAAGGTGGAAGTTGGTCCTGGATCGACCCGCAAAGACAGGAGGGGTGGTGAGAATGCATACAATGTATGCTGACCCAGTCTAACAGAAGGGAATGTATTATACATAGAGAAGAAAGCCAAGTCCACACAAAAAAAATACTTCTGCAATCATTGATTACTCTGAAAATACTACTGCACTGTCTCTAACTGCACCTCAAAGCAAATCTTTAGAAAATCTAATCCCCAAAGAAACTGCATTTTTATGCTACTAGTAGAAAATGATCCAACTTGTGTATGCTCTCTTCACAACCAGCTAATTAAAACTATATTGCCAAATGTCAGAAAGTTTCGACCTCAAAACCTAAAGCATCTAGTCATTCTCCATTTACTAACTCCAATGACTTTTCTTCCCAATATTACTAATAGAAATATTGTAATATTACAGTGGAATGTACCAAAGGCTTGGAGTCATATCTGCACTTGTAATTCACATCTGTACTCATTCAGAATAATTCTAATATAATTGTTAGGAGACTCACAGCAAAAACTAGTTTAAAAGCTATATTCTCTCTGTTATTACACTTAATATGAGGTCTTAATTGACCAGAGGGAAATTCTTCTTGAGTTACATCTCTTTTAGAACAGAACAGGCCTCCTGCTTTAGGTCTAGTGTAGTCAAAATAAACAGCATAAGGATAAAAATAAAAGTACAAACCGGCCTTCCACGAAAACCATATGGACCTCTTTCTCCTTTTGGTCCTGGATCACCAGGTTGTCCCTATTAAAAAAAATAATTAAACCATTTCCATATTCGAGTCATGCTTGCTTAAAGGGTTACTGTGAATTTCAAAATACTGTTCTGCAAATGAAATCTGAAATACTGTATTGAAGGTCCTTCTTCAATTCTCTAAATACAGATGGAAAGGAAGATTTTCATAATATAGGAAGACAACTAGATTTTTCAAATAATATATGATTTCCAAACTAAAGAACAAAACATTTCCAGTGTCAGGTCAAACAGCCTTTATTAAAGAATAAAGGGGTAAAATCACTGGCTCCAAAAAGTCAGCCTACAGTCTTACAATCCAGTTTCAAAAGGCATGGAAGAATTTCCTTCATCCCGTGGAATAACTCTGACTATACTAGTTGACAAATCTCACAGAGCCATCCACAAATATGAAGGAATTTGACTAATCTGAAAGAAGATATAACAACACTATTACCTTCAAGCGACTTTCTTATGATTTATAAAATCAGATAAGCAGCCTCAGGATTGCAGGTAAAAAAGTACCTTAAACTTAACTTTTATGTTAAAAGCTACTTTGCATTTATCCTTCATTTAGAGGTGCAAATGTGAGAGTGATCTCACTCAAAAGAAGTTTTGTGTGTACCCGGAGACACCTGAATTTATATGCCTATTAAAATTATGATTGTTTACTTTTGAGATATCCTGCAAATCCTAAAATGTATAAATAAAGCATTTCAAACATCTTGCACTTTTCACCATAAAGATTGTTTGCCTTTTGGACTCTTGGCTTATCATGATTCTGAAAGTTTGAATTAGAAGGGAACACTGAAACTCTATTACAATACTTGTATTGGAATCACTTCTGATCTCTGGTTATGTGAAGCTTCTTCCCCCACCTTTAATAGCTATTTTAGCCTGGCATAGAGCTTACAATTTCTTTTGGGAAGAGTAAATCAAATAAACATGAACTGTTAGGTCCTAATAGAAGAACTACACAACACAACATGGTTTACCGTGCCAATGATACCAGCCTTATCATGCACTTATGAACAGCTTATCAACTTACAGAATCAACAAACTATCCAGAGGATAAGTCTAAAGGTTTAATAGATGAAACAAAATTAATTAAAAAATCTGCTTCCCTGAACTTTCTAGTCCACAGTTCAGCAGAAACAGGCTTTTTAAGTAACAGAGAGTCCAGATCTAAGAAGCTTACACTTTTGAAAAGCTCTATGCAGCTGTGGCCACAGCCATTCCTAACATGCATACCGTGCTGGCTGTGCTTGCTTGGGTTTTCTTCAACGGTAATTAAGTACCAAACAAACTGCTTTCCAAAAAGAAACATGATAAATCTTATTTGAACTTCAACATATAAAGCCTACTCAGATCAAGAGACTGATCCTGCAGACATCCCTTGGACCTTTACGTGGGAAACAGGTCCAGATGGGGATCCCAAGAACAGAATTGGCAAACCATTTTTTAAATCAACAACATTAAGGGAGGGAATTAAACAGACAAAATTAATACAGTAATTTAACTAAGGGAAACTTACTTTAATTCCTGGTTTCCCCGGAGCTCCAGAAGCCCCTGGCAGACCCACAGTTCCTGGTTTATTCTGAAATAAACAAAAGACGACAAATGCTGTGTCATAAAATAAGAAAACAGATAAAACACACAGATTCTTTTCAAGGTTGGACTTATATTTTATAAATATTGACTAATCCCATAACATTTGTAGTCTACATAACCACTATCCTTACAGCCCTCACGGTTCCAGGAAAAAGACTGATCTTCCAGATAACACACAAGACAAAATATCAGTAACACCAGCTTCTACCTCCACTTCAAGCTTCCTGTTTGATTCTGGGATTCATCTGCAATCCACAGTTGAACAGAATGACTAAGAAGGAGGAAACTAAATGGAAGAAAACTGTAGGTGCTATTCTATTACTTTTAAGTTAGAATTAAGGATATTGATAGAGTTTGTCTTGAAAGTAGGTCAGAGAACATGATCCTATTTTCTCCAGGACTTTCATCCAATGTAGGTATTTTTGATAACAAGAGCTCGGTTTAACTGAACTTTGCCACATCCTTTAGTAGATCTTCTCCCTGAAATATCTGGCTGCAGAATGACAATAACCAACTCATATAGTACCAGGTAAATGCTTTCTTCTGGGCCTTTGGCAGGGATTTGTCAGCCAATGTAAATCAAACTTAGATTCCTAATTGTAAAATCCCACACTCTACTTCTTCCTTTCCCCTTCCTTAAATACCAGAAACTTTAAAAACATAGAGGTTACTATTACTTTTATTGGGATAGCCCATTTTTTCTAGTCTTCGTCATGCCAATCTTTTCCTCTGTCAGTTCCAAACAAGTACTATTATTTGTCCTTATAATCAGCAAAAGTATCTTAACAAAATTGCCAGCAGCTGCCCATCCATGTGGCCACTTAAAAACCTGCAGGGCAAAACACTGACTGCTATTACAGGAGAGCCTGTACTGCATCAGTAGCGATGACAACTTTGCTTGAGCAAGCCAGGTTAGTGTCTTGTCCTCATATCTGTAGCCAAGGAGCAGTTGCCAAGTTATTCTAAAGATTTTCTGAAGAAAATCAACAGATGTGAGGTTTGGATGATTCCTCAGAGCAAAGGCAGATCTACCCTCTCAGCCCTTCACAGCTGGCCTCCAGAAACTGGGACTGAGTGTGACCACAGACCTTTCTACCTAACAAATCTCAAAGACCAAAATTAATGTGTTTCTAAAGAAGCACATGTATGTTTTTTTCTTTTTTTAAACGGGTGTAGAAAAAGCATAGGTAGGAAGAAAGAGCTCTTTCCATTTCTTTTAGCATCTTTTTAAATGAACAAGTCTTATTATAGGGTAACAAAGAGGAAAAGGACTGTTCTGCGTTCTCTTTACAATTGACACAGCGACAAGCACTTTTTTCTCTAGACAGGACAGATACATAGAGATTCCTGTCTCTGTCATCTCTCAGGGTATTTACAAATATGTGTAGTGAGACTGGAAATTGATTTGAATATGTCCTAACTAGGGCTTACACCATAAAGCTGTCAAACAACTGCAGAACTTTATTTCTTTTATAACAGCAATAACAAAAATCCAGTAACACTGAGTGGCGGACTTAGGGCAGGATTGGAATAGAGTGAATTGAATATTCATATTCTAAAACAGATAGTAGAAATATTAAAAATTCTTTGTATCTTGCAGATCACTGAGTTGTTCAGGGAAGGGACATCAGAAAGGACAGTGCTTTCTTAAGTGTCCAGACCAGTGTATCACATAATATGTGAAACAGAGATGAAAACTGGAACAGTTAACTTGAGTAAAAACATTAAAAGACCACAGACTAGAATTATTCTAGATAATAATGCCACAAAAGCAGAAGAATAAAATAATACAGGATTGTATTTTCAGCTGAAATGCTTCAAACAACAGTGTATCTAGCATGGACTATTTTAGAGTATAAGGAATCTCAATATTTTATATCCAAACAGAAGTTGATATGGTGAGATAACAAAACTATAACTGACAACAGCTAGCTTTGTAAATAAAAGGAACTGCGTAACCATGTGGCATTCATTCCTGGGGAAAAATGATATTACCTGAAGAAGAGGTGCTTTCCTTGTGGCAAATTACAGCAGGAAACAAAGTCTAATGGATTAAGCAATTTGACTAGGCCTTTGCTCTTAATGTGGTTCTGTGACCTACTCTGTGTTCCTGGGAAAGCCTACCCGTGGTGCTCTGCTTCTGCCTCTCCTCCTTCTGCTGCTTATCAGCCCCGGACTGACTACTTGGATCTCAGATGCTTTTTCTAACAGGTTGTGACTCCGCTTCCTAGAATAATGGCAAGTCTGCTCGGGGGAGGAGAGGAGTCACTAGGGACATCATTGAAAACACAATCGCAGTCCCGGGTGTCCCATGCCAACAAACAGTGTGTTGTATAAAAATATTCCAATGCAAGATTTCTTTAAGAAAAGGTTTTCAAATACTGGGCAAGGAAAAAAAGTGGTCAGACATGATTCCTAGTCACTAGATGATGGTTGTGACCCACCTCAAACAGCACGCCAATTTCAGTGCTAATTGGAAGACAGGAAATCAATTCCCTTTTTGGTCACTGAACACAACACTTCCAAATAAACACAACATTAATGTCTACGCAGTATATTCAATCAAATACCTAGGAGTGGTCGCAAAACAGTGAAGACAGTGAGAAAAATGGACACCTTTCGGACAGAACAGACAAAAATAAGTGAAATTCAATCGAGGGACATGGTTCATAAGTCAAACTGAAGCCTCCTCAGCTCTGCCAACTACTGGCAGAGGAATATAAAGATAAGCAGTTGGTTCCCATGGTAAATTGTTTGCTGGGAAACATATCTTTAAGTAAGAATGCACATACAAAATTAATTAACTGTCACATCAAGGAAACATTCAAGATTCTTTCCAAAGTAACAGCAAGCATTTCATGTCTGCAGAAAATACTGTTTTAAGAGGCTCGTTCTCATGACAGAAAGACAGCATTTTTATGGATAACAGAAAAAATATTATATAGATTTGAATGTGGAGTGGCCTCTGAAAAAAAAAAAACAAGTGAAAACAGTTTTTCTTTTCCATGAAAATCTTGGAATTTGACAACAGAAAAGCAAAGAGGACATATGTGAGTGATCTACGGGACATTTACAGTTCAAAACCAGACTGTTGGAAAGTTGGTGCTCACATCAGAAGCAGGGTGGAGCATGATAGTCCCACTGTATTATATTTGGTTCTAAAAAAGGCTTACAGAGACTGTGACTTCACAGCACCAAGGTTGTTCCCAACTGAAATTTAGCTTCAAATTCTACAGGATGAGGTTCTAAAAAAAATCAAGCGTTAATTTGGTAGAAAACACAGAGATACTAGACAGAGAGAAGCCTTCTGCTCTCATCAATATGACCCCTCCTTTTTATATATGTAATTATGTTTCAACACCAAATCATTGTTCTGCAGGAACAATGTTACAATGAAAACAAGACTCATCTCCTTAAAGTCACTAATCGACTGCCATTTCAAATAAGTGAAGCCACATAAGCAATTTAGCTTATACTTCCTCATAGAGAGCAACCAGTATTTTCACTCTCTTTTACTGAGAAGTAACAGTTTGCTTGAATCCTGCCAGTATTTATTTTCAAAAGGAAAACAGGAAATAGCAAAGTGAGGGACGGAGGGAGATGTGCAAAGGCTGCCATACGTAGGAACTCGGCATCCTCTCCTTAGCCTAGCAGACAGCTCCTGATCAGGAAAGGGGAAAATTTCTGTGGGTGGGGGCTATGCTGTACAAATGAGCTGGGTGAAAAAAAGCAGAGAGTAATACCCTTCACCCCTCTCCTGCTTTCTACCCAGTAGCCCTGCTAAGTTCAGAGCAAGGACAATCAGACCAGAAAGCAGGAGGTTGAGCTGGTTTCATGATCACTGACCTGCTCAGTACGAAAGGCAGCAGGTATACTTCCCCTTCTCCACAGTACCCTAAAAATGTCTGAAGTACAACAGAAGGGAGCTCAAGAAAACACACAGCTGTGTGGGATATGGGAAATGTGTGGCAGTTGACAGAGGAAGGAGAGAACGGTAGTTTCAGAGAAAGAAGTGAGTGAGCAAGGCACTCTCCTGGGATTTGGCTATTACTGTCATCAGGAAGCCAGCAAAAGGGGTTATGGCAACGCACCCTTAAGAGGTTATTAGTTCTTATTTATTACTTAATGTGCTTAACCACAAACTTTTATAATGTCTGGCCAAATCATTCCACTGGATTATGAAAAACAATCTGTTTACTTTGCTTTTGAATTAAAGTATTCAACTACATTATAGAGATGGTTGACAATGCCCAGGAGACTGTAGGAGGTCACAGCATGAACAATAAAAAGATTAATAGACTCCTAACAAAACATTTATACTATTGCTACTCTTGACAGCAAGCCCTTACAGAAAAAAGACATGCTACAGCAGTTGGAACAAGATGTACACCTAGAAAAGAGACTAAGGAGGAGAAGGCAGAAAACTTCTGCAAGACAGGTTTCCGCCAATGAAAGAACTGGAATTCCTGTGAACTAAAATGATGATAATGATTAGATTAATAACATAATTCATATTTGATAGTTTCTGAATGACCAAATCCATGACCTTTCTTCTCTTTTTTTGTCTTAGCTTACTATAATAAAACTATCAAGTCCTTCGTTAGTAGCTTGGTATACATAACTACAACAATGTATTAGGTATAATATCTGAATTTATCACAGCTTGGAAAAAATACTAATGCAGGAGAAGTGTCTTACTCTAGATATTTTTTTTCTCCATTATTGCCAGGAAGGCAGAATTATTAGAAGGCTAATATTTTATCAGCAATATTTAAGTTTTATGGAAATTCTTTACTGCTTTTCTCTCTTAGCAATATGTATCTCCTTTTCCAGTCAATACCATGTACTGAAAAGAAACTTGAAAAATCAATGTAATGAAAACCATTCAGATTGCAATCCTTAGTTACACATTCAGTGCTTTACAATTAAACAACACAGCGTGCTTTCATTATATTACTTACTGGAGGACCCTTAGGTCCTGGTCTCCCTCTCTGTCCTTTTTGACCATTAATGCCTTCTTCTCCCTAAAAAACAAAGTGTACAGAAGAGTTCAGTTAACACACACAACCCATTAGTGCTGTTTTCTTTTTCCTTTGGTGAATAATAATAATAATGTTTACCTGAGGTCCTTTGTATCCTTGTTTTCCTTGCAAGCCTCTCTCACCAGGCTGTCCACGATTGCCCTGTTTTTAAATGACAACAAACTTGTGTCTTGTTATGTTTTCTGTGATCTAACAGACAGTAACATGTCAGCATTTGCTGCATTAAAAAGGTCTATGCCTTTTCTTTCCATCTTCCTGCTGTGGATAATATATTTTCTTACATTTACACATGTCAATTCCAGAGGACCTGTCTAACCAGTCTGATTTCAACATGTTGAACACTGCAGATCCAGAATGAACTAGTAATGAACACAACAAAAAAATCCAGATAGTACTCTTGAAACCACACAGTCGTGATATTTTTGAAATAAAATAACGTCTGTGGACAATAAGTGACACACAAAAAATCATTTAATACTGTAGTCACCAGGAAAAACTTGCTGAGCACTAAAAGCAGCATCTTCTGCTTTCAAAGGGAAGGTGCTGAAAATTGATACAAACAAATAAGGAAAGAAGTTTTATGTATTTAATAATACTTACATGCAAGCTATAAACACCTAAAATTTGCAGGTTTATCTCTGCAATATTTGGAACATACTCCTGCGGATGTTTTAGTTAACACATCAAAGTCCAGATGAGGCTCCTGATCAATTAAAAAAAATGTTTCTTAAACGTATCTATTGCAACTACTTTGAATTCTCTTTTTTCAAAATTCTTGATTAGGCTTCTATGTGGAAAAGGGCAGAAATAAGAAAAGAATCATTCTTACCTCTGGTCCCCATTGCCCTCTTTGTCCTGGTCTTCCCTAAGGCAAGGTGAAAAAAAAAAAGGCTGTGAGACCAATTTAGGCATCATCTGAATGCTGCTAGAAGTGGATAACTTGTTGTAATTACTTCATTAAAACTTTTCAGCTAAAAGATAAACAAATACAAAATTTATGCTTTTTTACAAAAAAAAAAAAACAACCCAAATTTACAAAACGAGCAGTCCAGTTTGGCCCTTCTGAATATTGCTCAGGAAAAGGTATTTTTATTTAACGAGAACAGTATTGCTACTCACCAAATTTAATATTGCTATCAAAAGTGCATGCAAAGCAGAGGCTAAAAAGCATTCTCCCACTAAATCAAGCCCAAGCAACTTAAGAACTATTTTCCTTTTTCACTGTGTACAAGCTTCCTCTGTTAAAGGAACTTACCGGGTTGCCTACACCTCCTGGTGAGCCAGGTAAGCCGTCTTGTCCTCTCTCACCCTGTACATGGAAAATTTAATTTCCTTAGCATCATTGCAATTTCTCATTTCTTCTTTTGTCCATTTTTCCATGCCAAATTTTTAAGAATACCAAAACCTGTCTTATGGGACTTCCCCACGATAACATTCTCTGTTAAAGTCTTTCAGTAAATAGCATTGATCATCAAAAGCAACCAGTTGCACACCTCTGAATGGGCCTGGCTGACAGCACTGCCTAAGAACTGGCAAATACCATTACAGCTGTTAGAAAGATTCCTGCAGGCCCTTGTTAGGAGCACAGGGCTGGGGTTTAGAGAGTTGGCAGATTCCTGACTCTGCTCCTAGTCTGCTCGTTGACATTGGGCAAGTTACTTCCTTTTTCTGTGCCTCAATTTCTCCTTCTGTTGCAGTGAGGATAATGACAGAGACCGCTTCTGAGAGCATACTCTTGCTAGAAAGCATTGCACAAGAGGCAAGCATCCATACTGTTCTATCACAGGAAAAAGGCTTGCTCAGTCTTTCGGCTCTCCCTGAAAGCAGCGAGGGATTTACACCGGACTGTTTTTCTCAGCTATCTCGTCTGGATGCCAAAATCTGGTTTTAATTCACTCTCAGTGCAAGAAGTGGGCCTGTTGCTTTTCCCTGGAGACAGCTGAGCTTCCCCCGCCACTTACTTCAGAAGGAAAGGAGAGTATTCAGTTCCCTTGCCAATGGTCCAGGCATGGATCTTAGATGGATTTAGAAGCTATGCTGATATCTGAGAGATCTGTGAATATGGTTGCACTTGTGAATCTAAACAGTTCGGACATATGTTCCTCGTCCGGAGAGGAGGAACGTGTCTTTGCTCTCTGTACATGTGTGTCACGTGAGTTCTGGTAAAGTTACGTGTGGATGCTGCTATAGGCAGTGCTCTGTCTGTGGTAGTCTGTGTGTCTGACTTCACTGGTGCCCTCTGTGTGTGTGTATATCTCTTTCTGCAATACAGGCTGAACCTCACTACTTGCCAAACCTGCCAACAGGAGCAGCATCTATTCGACCTCCTAGGTCTAGTGTGCACTTGATCAGGCTTTAGTGATTGGGAAGGAGGAGTTCCCAGGCCCCAGAGCCCATGACATTCAGTAGCTATCATAACATCTTATTTTAAAATTGGAATGATCTACACATTGGAGTCAGATCAGTAGTTTGTCATTGCCTTGCAGGTATGGCACTCATTCCTTCCCAGTGGTATTTCTGACAAAGGCCTTTCAGACCTTTGTTAGTATCATATTTCGTAAGTGCTAAATTCCCATAGCCTTGGCAAAGACATATTTTAAATAGTGCAGATAGGAAGAGGAAACTGTACAACTGGTAAGCAGTTATCTTACAGAAATTCCACATATTTCTGAACAATTACCTCTTCCCCCTCTTCTCCTGCAAAGCCTCTTGGTCCTGTTATTTCATTGCTCAGTCCAGGGTTACCCTGAAGAAAAGAAACAACTCCCAGTAGGAATGCTTATTCTTACAAAGTCTGAGATGTTAAATAGACAAGTCAGTCCTTAGTCAATACAACACTAGAAGGCATTTGGTTTAGAGAGAATGAATCAAGGATTTGGTAGTAAAACTGTAAAATATTATTTACAGTAAATTTACAGTAGAACTGTAAAATATTATTCTTTAGGAAAACAATAGAGAGATTTACATATATGAAGAGTTAATAAAAAGCCTATGTATTAGACATGCTACAGTCATTGTGGTATCACGTGAGCACACATCTCAGTTTTGCACTAGTGCACAGGAGACTATGTATAAAGTCTTATAAGCCCACATAAGAAGACAGTCAACATGATGCACTTGAAAAAACATACAGGATCTCCTCGAAAGCCCTTCTGGCCACGATCTCCGGGGGATCCTCTTGGTCCTGGACTTCCCTGAAAGCAGAACATACCTCAGTAAGAACCTGAAACACTGCTTTCATGCAGGAATTGGCAAGAGATAGGTCCAAGTTCCAACCTTCAACCTGCACTTTTAAGAAGTTTCACTACCAGTTTCTTCCCCCATTCCACTCCCAAAAATAACAGAAACCTGGGGGTTCTTGGATAGGAAGCAACGTAGAAATAGGCACTGTGCTCGACATTTTGTTTCATGTTTTGGTTTTGAGTTTTTTTTTTTAAGGAATAAATTCAAAATACTTATTGCAACTAAACAGAAATTATTTCAAATATCAAAGAACTTTGTTTGTAGACTGTATCATTGAAAGGAGTATGTTAACATACATTTCATGTTTTGAATGTAATGGTGCCTTATCTGTGAACAGCCAGAGTCTTCTGAGTAGCAATCTGCCCCATGCTTCCTTGGGCACTTGTGTAAGGGCAGAAAGGACAAGACAGTTTCTTCTGGAAGTGAGGTACCAAGCAGTTATATGAGAGTATTGTTTTCCACACTTGAAACAGGTCTCCAATTGCTGCTCCTGCAAGCTCAAACTTTTCATGCACAGACCTGCATGGTGGCTACCCACCAGCCTGCCATTCATTCCTAATAGCAGGCACTGAATTGTGGAGGCTAAACTGCAACTGACAGCCTGAACGATCACCTTGATTTCCAGTGAGAGTTGTTTTTATCACACAGACCAAGTCAAAACGGTCAGTGTCTACCAAGCTGGGTTTTTTACTTCAGTTAGCCATTCTACAAATGGTGTCTCATCAGTGGGAAGACAAATGGTCAATTCTCCAACTGTTTACTGAAGCTGCCACAAGGCACTATCTTTCTGCCATTTGCAGTCCCAAGTTGCACCTTGTTTCAGACCGCAAGGTAAGAGGAAAGGCAAGAGGGCTGCTCCATGCTTTATGAAAAACAGGTTACCTGATGTTGGCAAACACAGATAATAACAAAATTCTCATCTCATGTATGTGAACCTGCCAGGGTACTACAGCGATAGGAGGCTTCATATCTATCTTTAGCCAAATAAAAATTAGTCATATGTAGAAATTACTTTATGAGAAAATGCCCCCCCTAGAAGACTGTAATTATTCTTCAAATTCTGTTTTAAATAGAAACAACCCGCAGACAACTGTTTTCTGGGTATATATCCTATTAACGAAAATATCCACTGGCTATTCATCAGTAGTTTGCTCTTCTTCAGATGCTGGAATTCCTATAATACTGTCCTGATAGGAATTCAAACAAAAAATGTGCAAATAACTTTATAGTACAAGGTCTAGTCCTTGTGCTTGAGAGCTTATTAAAGACATTTCTCACAGGGACAGTTTCACAAAATAGTGAAACTATTTCGTAATATTGTTCTAAACCCTGACTAATAAAAGATAACAAAATGTTACCGGATATCCAACGTCACCCTTTTCTCCTTTCTTCCCAGGAACCCCAGGAGATCCCTTAAAGACAAAATACGGCATATTAATTCATTTTTATTACTCAATAGCTTTGAGGTCAAGAAGGCAAAAGAAAAAGATAACGTACCTCTTCTCCTCTAATTCCATCAATCCCATCTTCCCCACTGTCACCCTGAAATAGTACAAATGTGTATGAATTTCTTGCACAAACAACCAGTGCACAATTACAAACTCCATCAAGAATATGGAGACACAGACCGAGGAAAAATAAAAGCACCAAAACCAAACTCAAACCTAAAACAAAAGAAAAAAAATCAGTAGAAAATCTAGACACAGAAATTAATGCTTGAAGTTTTATTTCTTGTATGTTCCCTAAGCACAACTACAAACTAGTCTCTGCAGCAGACATCAGCAAAGCTGCCAAAAAAAAAGTAACATTGACTTAACACTCACTGACACCTCTGCAAAACTCTCAAAATCTCTATTTAGTGCAGGACAAAGCCCTAGAATAGTGCATTCACAAACTCAGACTGCCTAGAGTCATACTGTACCTTTTTTCCAACAAATCCTCGATGTCCCTGAAAAGATAAAAGGTGGCAAAAGTTAGAAAAACATGTAATAGAAACATTGAAGGATTATTTTAAATCACAACGAAGCAGTATTTTCAGAATTTTTGTTTAACCTTTAAACCTCTTGTGCCTGGACATCCCATACTGCCTTGTCGTCCTTGTGGTCCCGGTGGTCCTCTTGAGCCCTGAAAGATAGAAAAGAAGAATCCAATTGTGTAAATATATGTGAGGTTTACACAAGCTGGCAGCTAATTTATCTGGTAAAGAGATCTAGTCCTATAAGCCTGGAAAGACTTCTTCTCAAGAACTGTAGTCCCGCTAAAGTCCCTGGTTGACTGCAGATTAAAAAGGTTGCAACAATAGAGAAACATCCCCCGCTATAATTTTCACTTCTTTTTAGCCATCTGCATTGTTCGTTAATATTCACATTACACCTATAATCCCAGGTCTCAAGCTACCATTTTCACAAATTTGACTCCTGTTAAAAAGTACGGCTATACCAGTGCGTCTTAAATTTGAAACTCCATACAAGTACAGAAATCTCACAGAGAAGAACTAATATTTACGGGCCTGGCTGACAGGATTTCCATGGAACTTTCTCCCTGCCTAGTATGATGAAAGTAAAGCAAATACAACGTGATGATGCCACTACACACCTGCAGGCCTATTTTTGGGTACTGCATCTTGACACGTCAAGACTTGCAGTCTTCCAGAGCAATGCCTACAAACTATTACAAACTGGCTGACAGTACCAACGGAACAGTTACTGCATCCTCCTGATGACAGCTTGGGCCATGCTCCTCTCAAATATCCATCACACTGCTATGCTACCTCCTTACCGTCACTGTAGTTACTTTTAGTTTCCACTGATGGGTCTTTGCTCATTTACCTTTTTTTTTTTTTTAAATTTGAAACAAAAGCTGTATAGATGAAAACTGTTTGCTCTTTTAGGAGCAAACAAATGTATCCATCTATCTCAGAGATGGTCATAGTTTTTCCCTTTGATGTTTTTGGTTTCAGTAACCTACCAGCATAAAAAAATTTTACACTTGGGTCAAATCAAGATGATATGGTTTGTATGGCCTTCAAAAACCACCTCTAATTTGGATACAACCAAAACTATCTAAAGATGGATGCCTAGATCAAAGAGCTGGTCATGACTGGCCAGAACTGGTTTATTAACAGTTCCTTCTGCAGAAAATGACTGGTTTTGTCTCCATTTGTTTACTTTTAGTTTCCCTATACAAGCCTGTTTTTGATTTTTTCACTAACAACTTAGGAAAACACAAAAAAAAAACATTCAGAGGAAAACAAAAAAATGCTCTTTGTAGAAGTCTTCTACAGGAATAAAAATAGCTTTGCTAAGTAGGCACCCATGCAGCCACATACATAAGCTATTCAGGTTGTTGTAATCTATGCCCATTATATCCCAAGAAACATTACTGAAAATTTTACAATCTTGACTCTGTTTTAGTCAAGTGATGTGAGAGAGTTCTCACCTTGAAAGGTAATAGAGATTTCTAAGTTCACTATCCATCTAGTTTAGATGCTCTTTTCTTTTTCCTGCTCAAAAGTCTTAGTTTCCATAAACACAGGTTTTTAAAGTGTTAAAACTTACTGGTACTCCTTCATCTCCAGGATATCCCGGGTTCCCTTTAAGACCCTTGGGTCCCTGCAGCAAAAAGATGAGAGATAATGCTATAATACTTATAATTCCTCATAACCACAAACCTTACAAAATTTCTTAATGTTTCCGATTTAAAATTGTTCTTTCATATTATTTTTTATTCTAGTCCAATTATTTTTGAAAATGTTCATGTAACATATCTTTATAAAAAAGTTGAGAGTGCACTGTTCAACCTGATTTGGAGCCCAAAAAGAAAGAGGGATACTGGTAAACAAATAATCTGTGGGGATAGTATCTAAAAATGTGTATGATTCTGAATCCAAGGTGGGCATTTCCATTATCCTATGACTCCACAGAGATGAAAGCTGCTTCAGAAACAGCTGTCCTGGGCTTTGAGTCTCAGCACAGGCTTAATGAGCGCTCCAAGCTTTATTAAATGACCCTTGTTGTATATACAGAGGGTAAGAGAGAACATTCTTTCAATCTCTCATTCCCCTGTGCAAAAAAGATTCATAGGACAAAAAGCTCCTACTTGAATTCAGAGGCCTCTTTTGCAAGTGAGGCAGGGGTTTGTGTGAGTAGCTGTTTTCTTCTGTGTACCAAGAGGATGCTGCCAGGCGGGGGAAGCTGCTGACCCTGGTACCCTGACCCTTGTGAGAGCTTTTTTAGAAAGTGAAAAGCCTTCCTATATAGTCTCTCCTAAGAGAGAGAAGGATAAAAAGAGAGAGTGTCTGATCCCCCAAATTTTACCCCACTCAGTCATCAGCACTACAAAGTGCCACCTGCAAGGGGTATCTTTGTCTTTTGGAACAGCAAAGTTTGTTCTGGTTGTGAACTGAGGCTGCAAAGGAGCACTTTCTTCTATGGTCACTCAGTTTCCTGTGAAAACTTACAGTGTTAAGCAAAACATCAGATGACAGATGCCTCTGGCAGATGACAGAGGCTGTGCTTTGCCCTGGCAAGGTAGGAACTCGCCATCTGGCCTGGCAGAGCAGTAGAAATAGCAGCAGGGCACAGCTGTCCCACGAGTGCACCTGCAAACCTATCTTGGACTTTGCTTAATGTTTATAATGAAAGAAGAACTAAGGGCAGGAGAAATGCTGTGCAAAGGACAAGATGATATCTGTGAAAAGTCTCAAGGGAATTTTTTAACTCTGGAAGAGCAGAGAAGAGCTAGAGGACAAAATGAAGCTATGGCTGCTCAAAAAATATATGTGAACTAATACTATATAAGCCTGAGCCGTTTTGTCGTCTGTTAGAGGTAGAAAATCTGAAGGCTCCAGCAGCAGTGTTGATGGCTGCTGAAATATACAGGTGAGAAGCAACACCCATTGCTGAATGACCAGTCAACATGTTTGTCCACAGAGATATCGGGACTGGATATAAAGTAATGTTTCATTTATACAGGGAACATTCTTCTACCGTATTTGCGCTCCTGATGCTTTGAAAATGTATATTCTTCAAATACCATATGATAGAGCTTGTTTTAGTTAGAATTAATGCACACATTTGACAGAACTCTCAATTATTATGAAAGCTGTCAAAATAAGTTAGTTAAAAGCGAACAGAATTAAATGTTACACTACTGAACTACAGTACAGACTCTTCCACTATTTCTTAACTACATCAACGAAATAGAATATAAGAAAAGTCACAGATGTCTGAGGTTTAGGAGGATTCTGTTGCATTCCTTAAGTAGATATCTAATTAGTAAAAAAAAAATAAAAATCATAAGACAAATAATGTAATTCAAAGTATTTTTCGCTTGTTCATATGGGTTAGCTTTTAATTCCCTAGCCTGTAGCATTTCACTGGCATCTTTCCATTGTCTTTAATGGAAATCTTTACTATCAAAATGAAATGCAACGCTCTCATGAAATTTTGGTTCTTTCTGGAACTCCTGCAGAAACAACTGATTGCTACCCTAAATGTTTCCAAGACTGTTAAATAATTCGGTCATTAGGAACACAAGCAGTCATTAGGATCTTTCTGATGGCTCTGAGTAGATGCCTCTGAAAGACACACATTTTAGGAAAGAGCAGGCAAGTTGCTAGGCAAAACCAATATTAGAATCTTTAGATAAGCTCATCAATTCTGTAATGTTCCCCATCCTCTATACTACTCAGAACTGAAGACTGATTCCTCCTCCTGTACTGTTAGACAGAAGGTATAATGTTATTTTGAAAGATATACCAAAATCATGCCAGAAAACATAGGCAGATAAACATCTCTACATCAATGCAAACTTAGCACTACAAAGCTAGGATGTATTCTTACCCTTATCCCTTGTTTTCCCCTGTCTCCAATGCCACCTTCCTCGCCAATACATTTGCAAGACGAGCAGCAGCAGGTCCTCTCAGCAATGTTGTTCTAAAAAAGAAGAAGTTACTGCAGATAAAAATGTATTTTCCAAAAATTTCCTCATGGCTCTGCTCCTGCTCTTACTAGAAGCACTCACCATATGAATGCTCCTGCTCTTACTAGAAGCACTCACCATACGAATGCAACTGGCTGTTATGCTTTATTAATAGCATGACTCCTTTGTTAGTCATATTTACCAAACTTGATACTTATGGTCTGACTGTAGAGTTCTTTTAACCAAGATCTTACTGCGTACATTGACTCTTTATCAAAAAACTTACCAAGAACTTGGATAGCCTGCTAGCGATATCTCTCATGCCAATATCTAAGTGAGTTCCATATTCAAATCCTTTTCCAAACTCAATGGATAGGAGGTTTTGAATGTTGGAGGCTCCTTCCAGAGCAACAATTAGAAGACCATCCAAACCTAAGTATAATAAATATGAAAATAAATTTAATTCCACTGAAAAATGGTCTCTGTGCCTTATCTATACATGCATCGAATATAGATGCATGTATAGGTAAGTAAATACCTATACATAAATTATATATATGAAGTTCCACTGAAAAATGGTCTCTGTACCTATCTATACATGCATTGTGATATATCCCATGCATCAGGTGAATGATACCTACTAGAAATGCCAGCTGTAAAAGCCACATTTTTGATGGTATCTAATTCTGTGGGTGATTCAAATGAAGTGCTGCTGACAATGAAGAGCCAATAAAAGGCTCCCTTTGGCAAATCTGGCCCTTTAATCTCTGGTTCTGTTTTTCACTGTTTATTGCATGACAGTCTCCTGCACACATCAGAGGGGCTCAGCCTGTGGCAGCTTCTGCCTGTGGCAGCTTCTCCATTCCTCCTACCTCCTACCCTACCTCTCTAAACCTGGGCTCTGAAATCAGGTACCGATGCAGATACTGAAACCTAGAGGGCAGGTGGGAAGACAATTACTTAATCCATCTTCTCCCAACTCTGCTAGGTTTCTGGGTGATAACAGATACTAAGGACAATGCAGATTTATTGGTGAAACACAACAGATACGTGTGGCTGTGGGGAAGTTAAACATTGTAAGAAAGATCGTTTCAGATTATAAAATCCCTAAATAGGGAAGTCATGCCAAGGAAGCATTAATATTTACTTAGCCCAGTTATTAGGCGTTTTCTGAAACATCCACTGCTGGCCAGAAAGATAAGGGCCAAGCCAGGAGGACAGTCTTACCTGGCATTGTCAATCTCACTTCACTGGAGCTATTCTGATTTTTGACTGTGCATATGAGACTATAACTCCTCTTATTTGCGGCTAATCTCCCTCTGCTCTTTCTGCAGAAAAAAATTAAATACCTCTTCTCACCCCGTTGCTAGGCCACCTGAAAAATTAAACATTCTGACTTTTCTAAAAGAGATACCTTTCTCTTTAAGCTCTTCAGATTTTTGTTCAAGTGCTTCTAAGTCATCATCCACACCATCCGAAAACACAAGTAAAACCTACAAAGACATAAAAGACACAATTTAAGTCATACAGAAGCAAAGAAAAAAAAATGTATTTCGATCTTTCTTATACAATTTTGACCAAAGGATTTTGCCCAAGTCATCACATTACCTTTTTTCGGGTTTCATCCTTGTCCTCAAACGTTTCCCAGAGTGACTGCAAGAACTCAACATTAAGTTGGGATGGTCTCTCAATCACAGCATTTGACAGGGTATGCCAGATAGATTCACTGTCAATGTAGAATTTTGTGGATATTGGAGTAACAGTATTCTTCACTTGAACAGCCACGCTGCTCTGTACCTTGGACCCAGCAATGCAGCTCACATCCTTTACTGACAGGAGGGCTTGCAAAATCTCAGGGAAGCGTTTTTCCAGTTTGTTCTGTCCATGAAATAAGTGGTGACCTTCTGTCTGTGATGAGATGTCAAATCCCACAGTGATATCCACAAAACAAGCCACTGTTGGGAAAATCATAAATAAATGCATCAATTTTCATTTCAGGCAAAGAAAAACAGAAGAGAAAGAACACGACAAAGGAAGATCAATGCACATCAGCTAAGTAGGCAGGAGCCTCTGGAATCCGTCATCTTCAAGCCCCAGGTAGATTATCTGAAATGAATCTTTAGGTCTTTAATTCATATAGAGGCTCGTGCCTTTTAAAAAAAATGCTATGCCTAATGTTTAAGATAATTCCAAATCGCTTTCCTTCTTTGCTCCTCATTATGCTTTTTATCTGTGCTTGCACATTCACTGTGGCATGAACAGCTCTGCACAGTTAGCAGACAGAGCAGGGGCCCCCAACTCTCAGTATACATTTTAGCATAATTTCTCAGTGCATGTGAGGTGATGGGAAATCCAGAAGCAAAATGAAAGCACATGCCACAAAATGAGAAATACTGCCACCATGTCCCTTGTTCAATTAGATGCGAGGTCACTCTAATCTGTAGTATGACTGAGTCACTGCATGGGTATTCTGTGGGATTAATGTCTTTCTCTCATATCATTTCTGTCTGCAACTCAGGAGAAAATACACATTTTTAAGAATTACACCTATTGTTAGTAATACTTTATTTCTGCTCTGCAATTATTGTAACTGCTTCTAACTTTCTTAAATTAGCATTTGGATGATACAGCATCAAAGTTGCTGTCAACCCAGAAGCAAAACCTATTCTAGTAACCCAAGTACTTCAGTACTCAAAGTACGAAAGCTGTACTTTGTAAGGAAGGAAGTGGATAAAATTTATACACCCTAAAGCTCAGACAGAATTTTAAACAACTAAACCTAAAATCTTCAAGCCTGTGTTGTGTGATCTCAATCGATCAGCTCAAATTTGCAGAAATGAGAACGTAAGTAAATGGATAAGTTAATGAGAAGTACGGTAGGGTGTGAGCTTGTAGAAAACTTACTAAATTCACAGTAACTATTAAAGTGTGTCTTTTTACCCTTCCTGAAGGGGAGAAAATGGGAACTACGTTATGCACCTGGGAAGGAAAGTATTTGTGTGTGCAGCAAGGCAGAAGCTAACACAATGCAAACTGACCCAGAAGGTTATTTGTTTGTCAGCTCACATCCTTTATTCTATGGAGTGAGCAAAGAGAAAACATCCAAGTCATTTCTCTCTGCAATTTTAGAGAGACTGGATGTAGCTAATTTATTCCACAGAGACCATTATCTTCATGTGAGTCAGAAGAATTTTTCTATTTTTTTTTCAGAGTGTTGCAGAAGATGAACCAAATGTATTCTGAAGAATCACTCTAACTGGGAAGCAAACTTAAAGCAGCACGCTGAGATGTTAGAACAGTTTGGTTCAGGGATGCTTACCTTTTCTACTATCCTCACAAATAACATCAACCAGTCTTTTTTTAATGGTCTTCAATTTAGAAAAATCATCAACGACATATTTCCTACTTGATGATCCAGTTATCTGTGTCAGCTGGGACTGATCAACATTTCCCACACCGATGGCATATATATCAACACCTTTCTTCCTCAGGCTTTCTGCTGCTCTTGCAGCTCTACTGGTTGTTCGTCCAGCCATGATTACCACTAAAATCTGTTGGACATTTTCATGTATTCTGCTACCCTTTTCTGGTTGGAAGTTGAGTTTCACTTTCTCAAGTGCATTTTCAATATTACTTTGATATCCTTTAATTTGTTTGATGCTTTGAATTTTAAATTCTAGTTCTGATCTGTTTGGAAAAATGCCTAGGTTGAACTCTTCTTTATAGACACCACCATACAGCGCAAAGCCAATTTTGGTGTTTTGGGCAATAACAGCTGGACTGATTACACTTGTCACAAAGTCCTTCATTATCCTGAAGTTTTCTTCATCTATGTTTCTGGAACCATCCATTAGGAAAATGACATCTGCTTCCTTCGGACACTCTGCCAAAAATAAAGGAAAATATATTATTGATATAGTACATAATACTATTTCTAGTATTTTAGCCACAATACTATGGCTAAAAGACAGAGCTCAGAAGGTCATGATTAGGGGCACAGAATCCAGCTGGAAGTCTGTAACAAGTGGTGTTCCCCAGGGGTCAGTACTAGGTCCAGTCCTCTTCAATATATTCATCAATGACCTGGACGAAGGGATGGCGAAGGGATGGAATGTACCCTCAGCAAGTTTGCTGATGACACAAAACTAGGAGGGGTGGCTGACACCCCAGAAGGCTGTGCTGCCATCCAGAGGCCTGGACAGGCTGGAGAGTTGGGCAGAGAGAAACCTAATGAAATTTAACAAGAGCAAGTGTAGGGTGCTGCACCTGGGGAGAAATAACCCCAAACACCAGTACAGGTTGGGGGCTGACCTGATGGAGAGCAGCTCAGAGGAGAAAGACCTGGGAGTCCTGGTGGACAACAGGATGACCATGAGCCAGCAATGTGCCCTTGTGGCCAAGAAGGCAAATGGCATCCTGGGGTGCATCAAGAAGAACGTGGCCAAGGTTATCCTGCCCCTCTACTCTGCCCTGGTGAGACCCCATCTGGAATACTGTGCCCACTTCTGGGCTCCACAGTTCAAGGACAGGGAATTGCCAGAGAAAGTACAGAAAAGGGCCACAAAGATGATTAAGGGCCTGGAGCATCTCTCCTACGAGGACATGCTGAGGGACTTGGGTCTTTTCAGTCTTGAGAAGAGAAGACTTAGGGGGGATCTAATCAATGCCTATAAATACTTAAAGGGTGGGTGTCAGGAGGACGGGGCTGGTCTTTTTTCAGTGGTGCCCAGTGACAGGACAAGAGGAAATAGGCACAAACTTGAGTATAAGAAGTTCCACCTAAACGTGAGAAGGAACTTCTTTACTGTGAGAGTGGTAGAGCACTGGAACAGGCTGCCCAGAGAGGTGCTGGAGTCTCCTTCTCTGGAGACATTCAAAACCCGCCTGGAAAAGTTCCTGTGCAACCTGCTCTAGGTAGACCTGCTCTGGCAGGGGGGTTGGACTAGATGATCTCCAGAGGTCCCTTCCAACCCCATATGATTCTATGTCTATCATTAGCAATCTTTCCTCTACTTCCCACATCCTACTAGTGATATTGACAAAAAAACCCCAACAAATAGATCTTTAAAAAGAAAATTAAGCACATAAGATGTAATGTACGTGGAAATTCAGATATCTAGTCCCAGAACATAAAACACACATAAGGATGTGTGCTGCAGAAAATCATAGGTACATTTCCCTCTTACTCAACAAACAAAATTACACTGGCCTAACCAAATGTCCACAGGGCAAGGGCACATGTCATCTCAGGCTCATGCAAATGCCTAAAGAGGTCAGCTGACTCTCACACCAAAAATGCTTGTTTCTCTGCATGCTGCTTAGAAAGGGAAACTGCAGTGACTAGACATGACAGGCATAGAGAGCTAAAGCTAAGTAAGGTAAATCCCATCCTATGTATATATACAAACTTGAGACTCTTCAGATGAAGTGTCTCCCCTGTCTGAGAACTAAAGCATGCTTACCAAAACCCAACTTCCAAATAAAGTGCAGCAGCCATAGCTACATCCATTCAGAAAGATGGCGGAAGGAGAAGGTAGGAAAGAGCAGCCACTACAAGTGCTGAACTGAACAAGCAGGAAACAGAGGTTACTGTAATTTAGATCACATTAATCAGAACTGGTTTTGTTATCTGTATTGATCTGAGAGATGCCTTTGCAAGACTATTCTTCAAACACAGTTGCAGGGGAAGAGAAAGTTGAACACAACAGCCAATAGTAAGTATACACATACCCGGTACTGAAATATTACACATATTATCTGTTAAATTTGCAGTTAAGGTCTCAAGTCCTTCGAAGGTATCCACGTAGAAACATTTGTCCTCTGAACCAGCCATTGTCACAAGTTCATTTCGATTTGCGTTTCCAACTCCAACTGCGTAGATGGCAATTCCTTTGTTCCTTAATCTCTGGGACACGTCATCCAGCATGTCTGTATCATGGGATTCCCCATCAGTTATCACTATCAGCACCTGGGGAACTCCTTTGCTCTTGCGGCTGCCGTGTTGTTCAGTGAAGAACATTTCTGAATGGATCAGTGCCTTTGCTGTGTAAGTATTTTGTCCTAGAGGGTCATCTCTCTTGATGGCCTCAGTAATACCCAGTTTTGTAGTATACTCATTGAGATAGAAGAGCCCTACTGGTTCATCAGAATATTTCAATGCTCCAAACTGAACTCCATCTGGGCCGACATTAGATTGTTTCACCAGGGTAATTGTGAAGTTTTTCATGGTCTCGTACTGTGAGTAGCTTATGCTTCCAGAGCTGTCCATAACAAACACAATGTCTAAACGTTCCACTCTTTTGCATTCTGTAAAAGCAAATTGAGAAAAGTGAAGATTTCATGCGTAAAATTATGCAGGATCTTACTGATTATTATAACTCAATTCCATTTCTCAGAGTTTTATGCAATGTCTGTATAACTTTGCTAACTGAACGGTGTTGCAGAGGTAACTGTCTTGTTACTATGAGTAAGTTGCACACATGACAGATTCTTATTGCTTATGAGACTGTTCAGTGTGAACTTCATGATTCCAGTAATCAGAGCAGAGTTAGACTAAACTGAATGTTTTCTTGGTTACCAAAAATGCTATCCTTTTGCTCTGTACATCACAGTACAGGGCTTATAAAGCAAACAGAAATTGTCATATTTCAGTTGATATTGTGGAAATATTTCTATTAGCTTACAATATCTAAATCTATCCTTCCACAGGATACGAGCATTAACTGAAACTTTCCTCCCTCTTGCATACAGCACACTTTGTAAGTTCATACTTAACATCCAGAAGAAAAAAATAAATCAAAATCTTTATTTCATATCTGAATTAAACACAGCAGTGAGTTCGCCTCCTACAGAGCTGGGCTAACACCCTTCCCCCAGCTTACTCCCTGGTGGGAGAAGCTTGGTCTGTCTGAAGGGCAGTGTTCTCCCAGTTGCAGATATACAGAGTAGCACAGATGATAGCTGGTGACTCATTGTATTTCAAGCTTCCCTGTTTACACCTGATTTTTCTCACTACATAAGTTACTCATGTCTTTTCCAAAACTGCTGACAGGAAAAAATGATGCTTAACATCTTGGCTAATTATAGTAGTATTTAAAAACTCTCCTTAATTACAAGTTCTGTATTGCAATAGCGCAAAGACATAGCCACATGTCTGAACACTGACGGTTGGGACCTCTCAGGGCTCTGAAGAGACCACCCTTGCACGCCTTATGCTTGGCTCTTCTCTGCACTCTCCTCCACCCCTCACCCCTAGGAAAAGGTACCACAGAGTGGTACCATAGGAGACCCATGAAGTGCCCTCATCAGAGACAGAGCAAGGGGAAGCAGAGAATTTGCATGGGACAAACTAATACCAGGACAGAGAGGCAGTGAGCTCTGTGACTGCCACGCTTGATTGTAACAAGTGTAACAAAAGTGTAACAAAAACCTCATGGTTGCTCATGCATTAATAAATCACTGAAGGTTACCATACTTACTATCATCAGGTTGACTAGTGCACATTTCAAAAATGAGGTCGCTATTTATCTGTCTTAGAATATCAAAATTTTCAACATAGAATACCCTCTCACGCTTCCCACTAATCTCTTCAAGCTGAGTTTTGTTTGCATTAAAAACTCCAACAGAGTAGATAATAATGCCTTCATGCCGGAGTACTCTGGCAGGGGCTTCGACTTCATCTTGTGATTCCCCATCTGTGATCAAGATAAGAATCTTTTTAACTCCATGACGTGAACCACCACTGGCTTGAAAGTATTGAAGCATGAACTTCAGTGCTTCTCCTGTTAGTGTGCTGGACTCAAGGGGATATATCCCATCAATAGCACTGAGGATATCTCTTTTGGTGGAGTAGGTGTTGAGCTTGAACTCTTCCTTTGGTTCATGGCTAAACTGGACAACACCAATCTGCATTCTATCTGCGCTAACATATATCATGTTCACCAGCTCTTGTGTGAAGTTTTTCATTTTTCGAAAATTCTCATCTCCAATACTTGAAGAACTGTCCAGTAGAAACATGACATCAGCTTTCATTTCTTTGCAGGCTGTCAAGGAAAAAAAGATTTTTAAGCTTAAGGTTTTTTACTTTTTTTTTTTTTAAGAAAAACATAAACAGCTTAAACAGACAAAAGAAAAAAATTCCGCATAAGCCTTTTCAAACTCTAGATTTTATTAGTACATTGATAAGTTATGACTGTGACTACATTACCCCCTCAGATCTGAACAAGGGCATTATTACCTTCTTCAGTTGCAATTCAATCACAGCCAAGCAACTGAAGCAGCGTCTTAAGATCAGCAAGGAATTTCTAAAATAAAAATCTAAAGCCTGTGGCTGGTCAGGTTTTGGAGCCCGAGAAAGCTGGAAGTTTTCTCTTCATTTCAGTGAGGTACGAAATAGCAACTTGTTTTACAGAAAGGGGTGAGTCACACGATTGGTAGGTACAAATGAACAGCCTTCCACACTGGTGGGACACATGTAAGCACATTTTTCATTAATGTTTTATAGGGTTGTAAGAAATTAACCAGGGATGGAGGTATTAGTGCAACAGAACTTTTGCTTGTGTCCTGGTGGATGCTACTGTTTAGAGAATACTCATTTCTACATCATTACTTTAAATTGTAAAACTGTCTTTTTTTGACTTCTCAAATCTCAATTCTAGAATCCTATTTAAGGGATATGCTGTACCTGTCTACACCTGATAAAAGCAACTGGCTTGCTTGAGATAAGGAAAACTGCAGGCTCAACAGCTAGCCTTAAGAAAGGTATGTTCAAAACTAGACACATTCACAGACCTAGTTGCTCTACATTGGGTGCCTTTGACATTGGTAGCTCAATTTCATAGAAACATGGAATCATAGAATGGTTTGGGTTGGAATGGACCTTTACAGATCATCTAGTCCAACCCCCTGCCATGGGCAGGGACATCTTTGACATCTTTCACTAGATCATGATCTTCAAAGGCCCGAGCAACAGGCCTCGCCTTGAACATTTCCAAAGTTGGGGTATCCACAACTTGCCTGGGCAACCAGAGAATAAAGTCTGTAATGTACAGGCAAGAGATTCTTAGTGTTTTCTGAACTTAAGACCTTTTCATAATATTGGCCAACATTTAAGCTATACAAAAATCACCATCACCCTCTGAAAGATTCAACTGATCAACAATGAAATTGTTCAGGCTAGAAAAAATATATCTTGCACTATTAATGAAATTATTTCTCTATCAAATCAAAAGGAATCTATTTATTTTCTGTGTTGTCAGGACAAAGTGAAAGCATGGTCTTACCTTCTTCGGTACAGATCTCTCGGACAATTTCACTTTTTATGTCTTTCAGCAAGTCAAAATTATGTACAAAGTACACTCTGTTTTTCACTCCTGCAATCTCATAAAGCTGAGTTGTATTAGCTCCCCTCACACCAATGGCATAAACGTTAATCTGGTCTTCCCTGAGTTTCATGGCTGATTCCTTCACGCTGTCCTGTGACTCTCCGTCTGTGAGAACAACTAGATGGCAAGGCACTGCTGGTCTCTTGGCCTCTTGAAACAATGGCTTCATGTAAGCTAGAGCTGCCCCTGTAAGGGTATTTCCACCAATTTGACGAACATTTTCAATCGCTTTTACCACATCACTTGTTGAAGTGTATTTATCAAGTTTAAACTCCAGTTCATTGACATGTGAGAACTGCACGAGTCCAAACCGAACTTTGCTTATTCCTATGTCAAACAGGCTAACCATTTCCTTCAAAAATCTCTTCATATCCACAAAATCCAAGTATCTAAGACTTGATGAACCATCAACAAGAAAATAAATATCAGCTTCTTCTGTGTCCAGGCATCCTACATGGAATGAGAAAGTCTCCGTTACATCATTGTTGTATGTACAGGCAGATCATCTATCTCCACTCCTTTTGTAATGCATAATAAACTAATACATGGATAAGCTATCTGGTGACATAAAAGTTGGCAAACTTAACCTGCTAGGTATCTTAGGCATGGCAGCAAAAACCAAAACATGATTTATCTATGGCTATATAACTGCTTTCCTTACAGAAAACAAATCCAATAGCTTGGAGTGTTTCAAACACAACTGAAATGCTTTTAAGCAAATACCTCCAGCAATTCCCTGACTTCTGAGTAAAACTTATATCAACCATCAGAATTCATCATGCGTCTTTATGTAGCCATGTTAAATATTTAACCTGTATGAATTGTTTTACTGCTGAATAAGGTTTCGTGGACCAGCAGCAGTCCACTTAATGTTCTGGAACATGTGTAGGAAACAACTGTCTTTTAGTGCTCTTAAGCATAAATCCACTGGCAATTTTTAATAAATTATCTAAGGCTGTTCTATTGTTATTACTACTTCTAGACCAATCTGAAAACTTCAGCCACTTCATTTTTTCTCAGACACACACCCTGATGGCTTAAGATCTGCCAAAAAAACCCATGACATACACTTTCTCATCTATTTTCTAGGTTTGATCAAAATAAAGGGTAGACTGACTGGAAGGTTAACATTCTTAGGGAAATTTCATTTGGATGCAGCATCTTCCAACAGATCAAGCTTTAAAGGTTCCTTAGTAGGTTTTTAACTTACTCTCTACCAGGAACAGTTGATGTTTCTGCCAGTATTAGCCCTTCCTATTAAATAATGGTACAAATAGTACTACTTCAGCAGTATGCTAATAAGAAAAATATGAATCCATGTTCAACTTTAAATATAATTTCTTCTTCTCAAAAGTTCAATCTGAAAAGTTCAGTTTGAGAATGTGAGAAGGTTCTCAAAACCTCAATCACAGTTCAGGATAGCCTTCAGTTAAAACCCCTTCATCTGGAAAGAACCAAAGTTACTTGGAAAGCTTTACCTGTTTTGAGAATCTCTTTTCTTTCAGGTTGGACATAAAGCTCGTTTTGTATTTGATTCAAGAGCTTCTTTTGAAAAATTGTACTTTGCCCTTGCAGATCAGAGAACACCTTGAGATGGGTAACATACTGCTCTTGAGGATAAGAGGCTATCTGGACCAGCTGTTGATCAGAAGCATCTCCAACGCCTATGGCAAACACTGTCACGCCACTTCTGCGCAGAGCAGTAGCAACATCAGTCACGTTGTCTTGAGAGCGTCTGTGGGTAATCAGAACAGCTATTTGCTCTACTCCTTGCTTCTTTCTGCTCCCAGCACTTTCAGTAAAGAGCTTTAGCCTTGTGACATTAACAGCTGCACCAGTGTAGGCTTTTCCTGACCCAGCAGAAAGGTCCCTTATTATCTGCAGAATTTCAGCTTTGTTTGTGTCTGTGTTCAGATGAGATGCCACTTCTTGTCCATCAGTGTACATCACCAGGCCAATTCTTACGCAGTTCTCCTTCAGGTCAAATGAGGATGTTAGGTTTTGCAGGAACTTTTTTAATTCTTCAAAGTTTGACTTTGAAGTACCACGATCAACTATAAATGCAATGTCAGCAACCAAGTCTCCATCACATACTGCAGTAGAAAAAGGATGAGAACGAAACAATGTTAGTGGGCATCTTCTGCACTGTTTCTGTCATTAACTAACTATGGACTGTTGTTCTTTTGTTTTTCTAAGACAAGATTTTCTGCTTTATTTTGAAGTAAAATAAGTTTGCAAAAATTTTTTTAACCAAAGATCACAAGCTACCAAATGACAAAGTGATAAAACCTGGAGATGAGAAGGTACATGAGGCCTAGGGTGGCTAGCATCAGACTGAAGGTCTTAGTTCTTAAATGTCATCTCACACATGATTGATTTTCTTACCTTCTACTTCTGTAACGCTATCCATTTAGAACTCTGCAATAATATTGGAGACATTTTTAGAAAACATAGGGAGGTCCCATTCCTTAAGAAAATAAGAGAATGGCTGCGTAGCCATCAAGGTCAGTTCTTGTATCACAGCTTCATATGTCCCAAGGGCTATCACTTTTACTCCATTACCTTGTAACATTTTCACTTTCCTTACATTACTCCTAGAAAATGCTTTCAAGTATTCAATTTCTCTCAGAATTTGAATTCCTGAAAACAACTTAATTCCTGTGCCTTCTTTCAGTTACAAATATCAAGGGCCTGGATTCAGTTAATATTTCAAAATATTTCACATTTTTAAATATTTCATATATGAAAAGACAGCACAGGAGTTCTCAACCAACTAACTAATTCTTCACAGCCCTTTTAATATCAGTTGTTATGGAAATGGAAACGATTTTTTCAAAGAATGGAATAAAACAGACAGCAAAAAAACGTTCAGTGACTTTTTTTTAAGGAAATCCTACACATCCTTGTCTATTGTAGCCCTTTCAGACTAGGTGGAAAACCAGACTTATGCCACAAAAGTTTTATCCAGATTTAGGAAATTTGCATACAACTAAAAATTATTATTTCATTTACTTTGCAGCTCTTCCCAAGGAGAGTTTAGGCAGCTGGATGAAAAAACTGCCAGCCAGAAATGCTCAAAGCAGTAAAAGTTACACTGCCCCCAAGCAGCAGAACCACACAGGGGTTGCCTGAAATGGGACATGAGATCACTTGGCGTGATCAACCTCTTTCTACTGTAACAAATCACAGCTCTTCCCTCCCCGCCCCC